AGAAAAATTGCTATTCCATGGTACTTCATCAGATGTCGTTGATTCCATCAGCAAGCAGAACTATGATCACAGATTGCGAGGAAAGAATGGGACAATTTATGGAGATGGGAGCTATTTTGCTGTAGACGCTTCCTACAGTAATGACTACAGCGATCCAGGTGGAGATAAGACGAGATTCATGTTCTTAGTAAGAGTTTTGACGGGGGAATCTAAGCTCGGAATGCAAGATTTTCGTCGACCACCTCTGAAAGATCCAAGCAATCCTGCCAGCGATTTGTACGATTCATGCGTCGACGACGAAAATCAACCAAAGATCTTTGTCATATTTAATGACGAACAATGCTATCCTTCTTATCTAATTCAGTATCAGCTGCTATAGTTTTTGGTAACAAAGTCAAAACATTAGAGCTTCATTTTTACACATCTTATTGAGAAGCGCTATAAGAGCTTTATTACTACACATCTTATTTAGAAGCATTACAAGAGCTTCATTATTACACAGAAGCATTATAAAAGCTTCATTACCACACATCTTATTTAGAAGCATTACAAGAGCTTCATTTCTGCACATGTTATTTGGAAGCATTATTAGAGCCTCATTACTACACATCTTATTTAGAAGCATTGTAAGAGCTTCATTACTTTGGTGTTGGGAATATGAATGGGAATAACATATTGATACAAACTATTCAGTTAAAAAACATATTTTAAGCAGTTGATAAGTTCTTATTTCAATGATGTTTTACTGTGTAAGTAGAGTAACTGTTACCTTTTCTTTCTGAGAGAAACTAGCTATTTAAGTCCACAAAAGCTTGTGCTAAGCTGTTAGTGATTGACGCATATTAGCCAATCGCGAGTTCGACATGAAAGCGGATGTACAATTCTACGGTGATTAAAACTCGGCGTGAGGTATTTCAATTATCTTGTGGTAAGATATACTTTAATCAAGATGATTTGGTTGATGAACAAGAGAGTAATTTTATATGGAAAAAGTTAATCTCGTACCGGAATTCCTGGAAATTGCTACTTCTTATACTTTTGGTTCTTTTCAGGCGTGTTTTTTAGGCCAATTTCATGTCGATTCCTCGATCAAGAAAGTAAGTCTTAATTATTAATTTAGCACGTACAACACCTCTTTCTATAAGGAGATTTATGTAATTGTACCTTTCATCTTACGTACTAAATTTATAATCAGTTGACTTACATGAACGGCAAACAGTTCTCTTAGAGGGGTACTTAGGGTACGCTCTTTCTCCCTCAAATTCACTGTTTATTCTGTTGTTAGGCAACAAGCTTCTAGGGTTTTTTTCTCTTTCGTTATCTTTTCAATTGAAATTCTAATCTACGCAACGGTTTCTTTATAATTTTTATATTATCAATCTTGTTTTCGTTTTGGCCGATCTTAACCGGAAAAGTATGAAATTTAGTTAGAAAGTCGTTTTAGAAAGAGTAAACAAACCGAAGGTACATACTTAGTATGCGGGAACTGTTATATGTAACTCAACGTGATTCGTTAGTACAGTGAGAAATAGTGACGTTGGTGAAATATTGACAGCTTGCTACTTGCCACCTCTATAAGCTGGAAACCGACACTTTCCTGTAGATGATGTGTTACACCCCGAGCTAACAAGTCATTTGAGCCATCAAGAGAAGCAACATAAAGAGTTTCAACTGTACAAGACTGTTTGAAATTTCCTCCAACAAAAGTACAGCGACCAGTGGAACGAGTCAGTTACTGTCTGGATATTGATCCTCGCGCATGTCAAAAGATCTACAACACACGTGCTGAAATTCTTCACCATAATGCTATTTTGGACTGACCATTGTCATAATTTCCTATGAATAAATTGACAGAATGTTTTCATTCCTTAAAAGAAAAATACATTCATTCCTTAAAAGAAAAATACATACTTAAGAGTACAAAGTAGATTAAAGGCTCTAAATAAGGTTTTCAGTCAATAAGCTGGGCGGCGTTGTTATAGGAATGTTTGCTCTGTTATCTGTTATCATTGCGATCAAATATAATTTTGCCGGAAGTTTAGTAATTGTTGTTGATGGTAATATCTCACTGTCAATATTACGCTGATTCGATGTTTTATATACCTGTAGAATGGATTTCGTAAGTTAAGGTCCAAAATTGTGCAGAAAATTCAAATTACTATTTGCAGGTGTATATTTGCTTGCAGGTATGATAACCCACAGTGCGCTGCTATGCATTGTGAACCGTTCTTCATTACCAGGTCAAGTGCCTCAGCTCTGTCTGAGAAAACAAATAATGAGTAATTCTAAGAGACGGCTGAAATCGGCTAACATGTGAAAACACTTTTTGCTCCCTTCCCCCAAAGATTAAAACGAAAAAACTCTGTATGTGTGTTTTCGCTGCACTGGAGCGAAAACAAGTTATTGGCCGAGGTTATACATTCAATTTTTACTTCTTTCATATCATTATGTAAAGGTGGTTTTCCCCGTGACTTTTGCGTTACATCAATGTCTCAGTGTTCATGCGATCGGCCGGAGGCAGTCATATGAATATCACATGACGAGTGTCACTTATCTGAATGATTTCACCCATTGGTTACTTTCAGACAGTGACCTCGCTCTAAACCAGTGACCTCGCTCTAAACAATGATACGCTGTAAATCCAACTACCACAACGCACACGGAATCGATTCTCGGAAAGCAGATCAACAACGTACGAACTCAGTTGCTTTAACCTACACATATTTCCCACAGATTCTTGCTGCACGCCATTAAGTGAGGTAAATCATTGTTACCTTTTTTTGGTAAGAAATATTAGCCCGTAAACGGGTCGATTTTCTCAATCGATCCGTCTCAATCTTCATTTGTTTGATTCAGTGTTGTACGGAAGTGGCGTCAGAAACGATCCCATGTTGTTTCCAAGGCATGGGGTTTTGAATCTTTTGAAACTGCATTTGAAAACTTATCAAATAAGTTACCAATCAAAATAGAGGAGAAGGTTAAAAAAGGGGAAAACAAACAGATTAAAAAATAAGGCGAAAATGAACAGGAAAAATACAAGATGAAATATTATCCTCACTAATGCATATGATGTCAAATATTTTCTTCAGACTGACTGTCACCTAATACCTTAATTCAATTTACGCCCTTACACTTTTTAAACTGAAAAAAATGATATTAATAATAACAATTAAAAAAAGAAGAAGAAAAGGAAATTATCAACGTTATGTAGTAATCCATGAATCCGCGAAATCTGGCTGCCACAGTAAAACCATTGATATTGAATCTGTACGCATTTGCTGTTTCATTTTTTTTCTTTTTAACTAACTTTTCTACTAATTACATTTTTTCGTCGCAATGACATCAATACAGAAGGGATTTCTCGGAATCCGTTCAAGAAGGGAACGTTTGTTCGCGCAATTTTTGATTCGTTAGACCTTTATTCATTCGTTTGTTTGTTTACTTATCATTATCTGTAAGCTTGTAAAAAAACAATTATTATGTAAAACTGCAAACATTGAAAACTTTGGGTTACAGCCTGTTCAAAAGGGTGTAATTACCCTGTTTCCTGCTGTGATTGCATCAAATTGTTTTCTTCGTTGCTCAAAGTTCAGACGCGCTGACAAGTTTGCCGCCCTAAATTTACCTATTTTTATTTTTATTTATTTATTTTCTTCTTTTCTTGGCACGCAGAGGTTATAGCGGCAAATAATGCTTTGGAAGCTTGCTTGTATATTCTTCTGTAAACAACATGAATCACTGCCTGCAGTTTGCCAGGTTTTAAAATTTCTTAAAGTTTAGATTTTCCCCATTCCTCTGTTTAAATTTTCGCCTCTGAATATATATTTTTTTAATCTATCATATTTTAATACCCTAAAACAAACACTCTACTTAAATTGTATTTTTTTCTACTGGCTGTTCTCATAACTACTTCCTTTGTTAAAGTTATACCGTCTTTCTGTAGCTTTTAGAATTTTGGAGACTGCGAAGTACACCAGATCTAACGTCAGTTGATTAAAAGATGCCAGCAAGTATGTAAAAATGGTGATATTTGGAAGTATATTGTTTTCTGTTGTTGTTGCTTTGTTTTTGTAGCTGTTTTTTTTTTTTTTAAATTAGCTATCACTTTTTAAAATAATAAGTCTACATTTGATAGGCAGAATTTATCATTGTGGTTTTAGAATTTTGCCAGAGCAGACATGTAGGATCTTTGCAATGTTAAAGTCGCTCAGTCAGCTAAGAAATCTAAAAGTTGGAAGGATAGAAGGTCGTTAAAATCTTCATGCCCTCCATCTGTATAAGATTTTTTCTTCGCCTACCTTTACCTCATAGGATTCATTGGACACCTGCCAAATCATGTCTCCCACTCCTTCCTCTCCAACCTTTCAAAAACCCGACATTACAACATTTATTTTTTAATAAAAGAAATAAAAACCAAAGACATCGTTTGTTTTTGAGAATACATAAGCCATTTCTATTACTCTTTTTAAGCTCTGAACTGTGAAACTGGTACAAAAAGTTATAACATTACATTTCAGCATTCGCTTTAGCGACTATGGCAGCTACCGTGGCTGTGGGGTTAATAAGTGTTGTACTCAAAGCTGCGTGGAGTGATGGTGAGTAAAATCTTTTAAATATATTTTGGGAAACATAAGCAGTAGATGTATGGAGGTACTGAAGGCCGCTGTGTAGTAAATACTGCAGCTCTTGGCTAACAAATGTTAAACTTCCTCCTTGACATTGAATTGTAAACTAAATGTTTTTCTTCTTTGATATAAATTTTTACAAAACGGGTCAAGAAAAAAATCGAGTCAAGTAATTAGGATTAAAATTATTTCCTTACAAGTGTGGATAAATACAAATACCAGCTACTAGTTGATTCTGACCGTTTGACACCGAGAAGGTCATGAAGATTTTAATGGAATAAGTACTGATCGAATATCGACGAATCATTGTAGCATCTCAATTGTCTTTGTTTGTTTGTGCATCTAGAGTCCAATGGAGACTTTCTGCTCTTTCATGACCGTGTACTCGGAGTTAATTATGATTAAGTTGATAAGTTAGTGAACTGCACGAGAAATTATTTATTCCCTTCTTTCAGATGAGCCAGCGAAAAAAGGAGGAAGTGAAAGTCACAGACAAAGCGCTGCAGGTATAAACAGTTGATCGTGCGAGAATATTTTCAAAAGTATGGTAGTGCCTTTTATCGAATTATGGTAAAGGTTTCTGTGTAACCATACCTCTTCTCCTGGAAATGAAAAAAAATAATTGAATGTATTTTTCCCCAGGGAGTGGAGGGACGAGGTCACAACAGAGAGAAAATGGAAGTCTGAATCGTAGGGAAGAAGGTATTGTTGTTATGCCTATCCGAAGTAGATTTGAACTATCAGTGATATGCAGGAAAAGGGGCCTACGGATAAGAGGTCTTCTCAGAGAGAACTAAAATGTCCAACCATCCGCAGTTTCTGCTCAAAGGCAGCAAACTCTCCTCAGTTATATGATGAAGCTGAGTGTTGGTCTGACTAGGGCTTGTGTCCTTGACGATCTTCATAGTAGTCTGACGCTTTACAAATTGATCGAACCAGATGGAAGTTAACAGTAGAACACAGTTACAACGAATTCAGGGGAATTATGGTAACTGTCTCTAGGAATCGTTTTAGAGTTCAAGACAGTGTTAAAAAGTTTGCATACGAATGTTCTTTCGGAATCATCAGAACAACTTGCATTTCAAACTATTCCCAAATAACTACGGGAAGAGTTTCCAAAACCCAAAGAACACTTACACATGAAATTCTCCCTTTTACACTGGTGTGAGCCCATCGTTTACTTTCTTATGGTCTGTAAGTTGATTTGTTAAGACTTAAACCGGTGACAACTCATCCTTTAACGTTGCACTTTTGAACGTTGCACGTTGAAATTTCTTTTGCTTTAAATCGCAATTCTTTCTTTGTTTATTCCATTCAGGTAGTGTCAGCCAACTAAGTACAGAAATACAAGCATTAGAATGTGGAAGTAATTATTTGGCGGTTATCTTTCAGTAAATCAATAGTGCCTATGCCTAGCACTTTACTAGAACTTTGATCTGCAAAATCATTTTTACAGGTATTAGAAAAACCAGAACACAAGAAGACGAAGAGAGAGCCAGGAAAAGAAGAGGAGAAGGTAATGTTCACTGTAAAAAATGGGCCTAAGTATTACATTTAATTCAACTGAACTATTATGGTAATAGTTCCTGCATCGTAAACATAGGATTGCTTAATTTGTTGTTCCCTTTTAAGCTAAAGCATCGCTTCATATGAAGTCACAAATACCGAGGAATAACAGTTCCTGTTCTTAATTTTTGAATCCCTTGAAATGAAGTAACATTTTCATATTACCCTTCACCAACTGCAGCCTTATCCCTTCTTGGCGATAGCAAGTCTACACCATACCTCTGGCAGTTCAAAGAAGCAGATTCTCATGCTTGGAAAAATTTCGGCCCCTCTGACAATGTTGTCCTGGAAGAGCTTTATTGCAACGTGAACAATGTGGAGGTTGAAATAGAACTTGAAGACACCACAATAAGGTGAATATGTATTTATTCTTAAACAATAGGGGAAACGTAGCTCATCAAAGGTACAATTTTTAATATTTTTGGCCAGAAACTTTGGTAACCTTAAGATTACAGAGAACATCCAACTTGAAAATGATATATACAGAGACCATAGATCACCGAAGTGTTCGGCCGTTTGATTTGTTTTCTTGAGGGTATAGAGCGGGTTCATTTAGAGAAGAATACTGGCAAAATGAACGTCACAGATGCTCCACAGAAGCCAGTCAATTTCTCGACAAAACTTTATATCTGTAAAACACTTCAGTAACTTCCCGTACGTTTTATTGCCTCTCTTATCTCGTGCAATACTTTAACATGTGTCAAGGCCTCAGTTAGTTATCATCATTCGGCGGCGTGATTGTCTTAGCGACGCAGAATGAGACGAGGGGAAACGGAAAAAGATTGGAAACAGTTGCACTGAAGTACCGCAGTCTGCGAGCGGACTCACACTGGTGCGGCAAGAGAGTAAAGGAGGGAAACGAGAGGTCTGGCACTAATGTTTTTGCCAGAAAAAAGGCGGATCTCTGGCAAGTTCACATTGCTTATCCGCTAAAATGCGCGGGCCTCACCACTCACGATGCAGCGCCGATTTGAGCCTGCAAGCAGACCAATAGCACTGCAGCTCACTAACAAAACGTTTGGAACAGGCTAACACATTGTCACTCTTTTTTGTTTCTTTCAGACATTCAAGAAAGCTGTCAGGAAAGATGTCAGCCAATTTTCACACAATGTCCATGAGCTTGTTCTCCCCCTTTAACCACTTTTTGATCCGTCGACGTTCAACACCGTCTTACATCAAAGAACGCGGCAACAATTTTCCTACACTGTGGGTTTGGTATTGGGAAGACATCGATGGATGGAAAAAATATGCCGAAACGAATGTAAGTAGGAGGGTCTTAATGGGGTGATGGCTTTTACGGCTAACGGTTAAAATTTTGACCAATTTACGGCTAACGGTTAACATTTTTCCATTGTCTCCATCAGACATATTTTTTACGGTTAATTTTCTTTATGACCAACGGTTAAATTTTGTCAATTTTTACGCCCAACGGCTAAATTTTTGGGGTTAACTCCACTGAGAACCTCAAGTAGCGGTAACTGTTACGCAAAGAAATGGTCAAGCGATGGCCCGGCCGGGTATACTTCTTTCGTAATTTGCTTTAATTGTATATTTTGTATCGCAGTGAAATTGCACGGCCGAAAATTATGTTTACTTTGATGAAATATATATATATATATATATATATATATATATATATATATAACTGCAGACAGTACTGTTTCGGCCTTCTGGGCCTCATCAGTGCAGTGCTGATGCTAGGATGGAGGTAAGACCATATAGCCACCCCAAGTGATCTCACATATGTGGGATCATCTAAGCCATGCCAGAGTGCTCAAACTAGAAAAACTAGCGAGCATGCATATATATATATATATATATATATATATATATATATATGTTGCGATAGGGGAAAAAAAACAGAGAGACTATCATCGCCTTTCATCCCTACAAGCCTGTTTCGTGATTGCTTACTCATCAGGGGATTTTATGAGTGAGCAATCACGAAACAGGCTTGTAGGGATGAAAGTATAGTCTCTCTGTTTTTTTCCTCTATCGCAAAATATATCGCGCTCTACTTCTAAGTAGCGAGCACCGTAAAACGGAAAAATAAATACAGACTTCCTATATATATATATATATATATATATATATATATATATATATATATATATATATATTCATATATAGTCATATATATATATATATATTTAATAAATAGATTCCAAGTTGCCGTGCGACTGTTCAGTAATAGATCACAGATGATGTCAAAATGTGGTAAGAACAAAAAGTGGCACACGAGGCGCAGCCGAGTGTGTCGCTGATGTTTTATATAATAAAGAATTTAAAAAAGATTTAATGATGACGTAATCTATACGTCTGTCCTCCAATAGATCGCAAGATAGAACCAATTAGAATGCGTGCATAACTGAGGTTGTTATATAAATATATGCATATATATATATAATCCCTTACCTTCAGTAAGGCAAAGGAACAGACTTTCGTTCGAAAAATAAAAGTTTGACGAACAAGATAAAATAAGCATTGCATATGACGGCTTAAGATGAAAATAAAAGTAGAAGAGAAATCCTGAGGCTGAGGTTTCATGGTTATGGATAGTCCAAACTTAAAATCTTAAAACTTCTGTTTTAGCTTTGTTCTGGCGCAAAACAAGAGCAAATTGAAGCATCGTATCTAAATGGAGACCCTGCTTACTACTTTCAAATCGGTCGGAACGCTTACGTAATACATTTTGAAGGTACACTTATGAACCAAAGGAGTGTAGATCCAGAAGTCCAAGTGGTTCGGCTTGTCAGAAGAAGACCAATGTCTACTTCGAATTCAGCACCACAGACTGCAATGAGGTGAGTGAACGCAGACTGCGCTCTAATTAGGAAGAGTAACCAATTTTTTTTTTTTTTAAGTCACTGAAAGAGACATTGCTCTTTTGTAAGCGGTCCCGGGACAGAACTAGGCTTTCGATTGATGAAAAGCCGAAACACAATAAGGGTGATGATGATGATGACAATGATGATTTTTAATAATTGATGGTCTCCATGTAAGTGGATGGTCTGTTCAGCATTGTGGCTTATCCATCAAATCTCCATGAACTCAACTAAAGCAACTTACAGCACCTTCGCAAGACTTTTGCGGCTGCAAGCGATGCAGATATCATTCATTGTTTTCATTCCGCGACTGACTGAGAATTTGACGCAGGCTGAATTGTTCGCCGTTGAAATCCTTGACTGACATCGATTTTAGTTTATATAATCGTCCTTGACGAAGGGGGTTCATGTGTGGGGGCATGGAAAATGCTTTATTTGTCAACTTAAGATTCGTTTCTGATAAACGTTTAGACATCGTACTAAGTATTACTTTGAATGCTTTCAGTAGGACTCAAGAGCTCTGGATCCCGTCTAACCACACCCATCCATGTTTCCTCGCCTTTGTTATTATTGCAGCAATCCGAAAGGTCAGGTAATAGCCGTTGAAAGAACTAACCTGAAAAAGGACACCGAAGAATACCGAACTGTGAGTGAGCGCTTTCACAAAACGATGTCGAGACGCCAGGCCTCTATAGTGATGGTGGAAAAAATAACAAATGGTCATTTATTACAGAAATACGAAAGGTAATTGCTGAGGAAGGGCTAATAGGAGTGAAAAATAATATGTACACCGGTACCTGTTCGTGATTAATTCTGCGTAGTGTAAAAGAGGAGCTTAAGATGTGGGCATGAACTAACTCATAAAGTTAGTCTTACGGGTTATTTCCGCCGCTTGGATAAAATTTAATCAGTGCGGGCCAAAAAAGTGTTGTTTTCGAACGTAGACTGTAATTAGCTAAGCTTTTTTTCTTTTCACTTCTTCATCCAGAAAGTGCCAAGAAATGAGAGAGCAACGTAAACCTATGCGTGAAAAGTGGCTGTTCCATGGTACAACACCAGATGTTATTGATGCCATCTGCACACGCAACTTTGACCACAGAGTGTGTGGGAAAAACGGGACAAGGTATGGGCAAGGAAGCTATTTCGCTGTGGACGCATCTTACAGCAATGACTTCAGCAAAACTAAGGGTTACAAAACGAGATACATGTTTCTGGTAAAAGTGTTGACTGGAGAATTTATTCGTGGAGAGGAAGACTTTCGTCGACCACCATTGAAGGATCCGAGGATTCTGGCAGGTGATTTGTACGATTCTTGCGTTAACGACGAAATTTTACCGAAGATCTTTGTAATTTTTGATAACGAACAGTGCTATCCTTCGTATTTAATTAAATATCATTTGAAATAGTTTTAGGCATCAAAGTCAGATGCATCAAACTACGGTAGAAAGTCGGTCACAAGCGCATCTATAAATAAAGGGTCTTGATATTAGCAGGCAAGTAAAGAATTTAAAGAAAGCGAGAAAACTTTTGAGTCTGTAAAACATAGTTTTAGATTTACATGGTGTATCAACAACTACACCATGTAAATATAAAACTGTCTTTTTAATTCTCACACTTTCATGCCTTACCTGTCTTCTTGTTGTCACTTTTCATCTTAATTAGCATTGTTCTACTTACTATATAATTCAACTTCCAACGCTTTGTACAGTAATTAACTGAAGATGACAGAAGTTTCTGTCGAAACATGTTTTACAGACTCAAAAGTTTTGTCGCTTTCTTTAAATTTATAAATAAATAATTAAATAGCTGCCAAAATTACTAGTGGACTTAGTAGTTTACATTGTGAGCCAAAAAGAGAGAGAAAAACAGAGTAATTTATAATTGATTATACAATATAAAAAATATCATCATGAGAAATATCATCATGAGAAGTCAAGTATTTGAAAAAGTAAAAATAGTTTAAAATAGATAGTTAGCAAAAATTCAGTTGAAAAGGTACCTTAAAGCGTCCTTGTAATGGTAAAGTGTTCGCGACTTGAATTGATGTTTACGAATCTCTTGACCAAATGTTTCCGTTGCTTTCAAAAATCTGTTGCTTCTGATAATCTGATCAGTTCCAGAGAGATCTGGACAACTGTAAGCTCATTTTGAGGAACAGATAATGTCCACAGACAAATATACGAGCACATTTTGGGGCCAAAACGGGGGCTATTGTGTTTATTATCCTTCACTATTTTTGCAACGCGCAGGAAAAATATTTACGAACAACTCGCTGTTTGCTACTTGAAATGTGTCATTTTTATGTTTCATCTTCTGTAATACCCGTTTTCATCTTGACTTCAATTTTAAACAAACGCTTTCATCGTAGTTAATGTAAGGTTTGAAAATTGGGGAAAATCTCTTGCTGTATATCCTCGGATATTTTCCATTTTCAGATGGAGCATTAGTTTCCCAGTTTGAGATGGGTCACTACCACATAATAGGGGTGAACATTACAGTGATTAAGGGGAAGCAGATTCTGGAACCTGAAAACCGACCGCTTAATATAGGGTGACCGCTTTATACGGTGCCGCCTAATACAGGTTCCTCTGTATTATCAATTTAAATTTTTAAGCGAACCTTTGTTGTTGATGTTAATTTCTCAGTATCAGTATTGCAGCGCTTTAAAGTTGTACTCGCCAAAAGAAATCTATAATTTGCATTTTATTCGAAGCCTGCCGAAATTAGGTCATACGTTATGGTCTAAACTTTCACACGAGAGTTAATGATGGAAAAGGTAATAACGTCTCAGGCCTAGTCTTGTTATAATTGTATTGAAGTTTTAAAAACATTTAGTTTTTTTTCTTCAGTAGACCCCCCTGAAAACCACTAAGAGTGATGGAGGCCTGTCAAAATATGTATTTTAATTTTTTTTTTATTGTGTAATAAAAATAAGTGGTGCGTTGAAGGTTTCCGATGTCTGGACGTGTGTTAGTGATTTGACCATAATTTCCCTGCGAAATAAATGTCAGCTTTTTACGCTCACAAAGTTTCCTATGGCTTGTGCGCTAGAATCCAGATCGAGTCGGCAGTTAGCAGTCAGAGGTCTTTTTCTTCTTAGATCAGTTGAACCCTGCAGTTCTTGGGAGTTAGACTTAAATAAATCAGGCAAACTCAAAGCATATTTTCCCCCTTTCTTGAGGCCAATGCCGAACATTTATCCTTTGGCCAGCAGAAATAAAAAACCTACTACACGCGCCAAATCATCTTCCGTATATTTTAATTGATTAAGGGTTTATTCATTTACGCATGAGTTATAATCTGAAAAAGATTCAAAAATTGAAACGAATAACAGCAAAAAAAGGACAATTGTCGAGCAAATATCGCATCCACCCAAATTAGTTGGTGTTGTTTTAAGACGTAACAAAATAATCATTTTTGCTATAAAAAGTCCACAAATTTCAGAATTAAACATATTCTGAGTAGAGGAAGAAATAGAAGATTCTCTTGCAGTTATTTTTTTTTTCGTCCTAAAACAAACTTTCATTGTTAATTTACAACGGTCTCACGCTAAAAATTCATTTCTACCTTATTTATGGATTTAAAACCATGGTCAGGACTGGCCTACAAATTTGTAACCTTTCGCTTTTTTTTGCTGAGATGGAATCGAAATTCTCTTGCAGATTATGTGTCCACAAACTGTGTATGGCCGGTAAGGATTACTGCGTTGTGCCGTACTTGCTCCGCCGCTTAATCTTCCAATAAACACCGCATTCTTGCGATTGGGTGCAGCGTTTATTCGTAGAGGCGTCTAGTCGTAACAGACTTCCATCTGCGGTGCTGTATCGAGTAGATAGAGCAACCAGGACTGTTTCCCAGTGGACAACTGAGCTGGCTGCACGGTATTAAAATCAGGCAAAAGAAGTAAGAGCCAGGCGGAGGAGTTAAATTTTTTACCCGATTTTTTTCTTTTCTGTAAACATTTGTATGGTCAGTAATGCACGAAAACGTGGAGATAAAGGAGATCGACCCTAAAACGGTTCATTGAAAGTACTATTACGTCACATGATCATGCAGGCCTTTTTTTTTCTTTATTTGTGTTTTTCAAGTTTCTACTTGCTGATGAGCCGCTACTTGCACTTGTTTCCTGTACATTACAAGATGTGATGGGTTGTTGCTTTGGAATCCCTTAGTGCTTTGTTTGAGCAGTTGTAGGCCTGGATACAAAGTTTGTTCCAAGTTTTTTTGGGACACAGTTTGCTTGTTACAACTCACAAAAGATTTACTCTACCCGAGCCGAACCATTCCAGTGCTCAAAGTTCCCATACCAACCTCAGCACAACACTTAGGCCGAGGCTACCTGCCCGCAACAGTATTAGCTACGCAGCCGCCGCTGTATTTAGATCGGGTATTGCTAGCACAAATGCAACTACCTTCTCAAGTAATGTTGCCACAGCTCTCAACTGCAATGGATCCACTGCACTGCTCGTGGTGGTCATTCTACAGTTTCCTAAGCTACCACGCTGCAACCACCAACAACTACAATGTTAGCATCTCCAACCTCTCAAACGTACCTTGAAGGGATTTTGAAGCAGAAACACACCGGTTATAGTGGTCTTACAAAGGTAAGAATGTCTTGTTCACAGATTATAATAGTCGAAATGATAGAAAATATATGAGATTTCGTGATACTGTACTCGGCAACTGCAATGCAGATTAGGTAGTACTTCATACTGACTGAGCGGAAGCCGACCGGACGGAAAATGTTTAGCTCGATCGAAGTCACGACTTACAGACCGTGTACAGTGGACAACAACAAAGACAACTATGCTACAATGAGAACTGTTCCTCTATTTCTTCGAGCATGGGCAAGAAACTCACAATTCATCAAAAACCACGGCTTCCTTTCTCGTTTGTTTTATTTTATGTTCGCATCCAGACTATCAGTTCTCTTATTAGGATGCCAAAGTTGCGGTTGCGGGCCAGTCTTCTTTATTTGAACCGACTATGCACGTCAGCTTTCAATTAGGTTTTTTCAAGGATTGAGCGTGTAGGTCCGTAAGAGTTATATGATAAGAAATGTTATCTTATAAGCCGTATAGCTCTGTTTGCACTTGTATTGAAGAGTGGTAAACGAAAATATCCTATGCGGGTCGCATGGGATGACACGAGTTGGCCGGTAAAAGCAGACTGGCCCCGCATGAAACCAACCAGTATTAAACTGGTTGGTTGCGTCTGAAAAGATTTAATTCACGAATTGGCTTCCAATCCGATGCCTTGCTCCTCAGCCACTCAATCTAATTACGATGGGCTCGATACACTTTGCTGAGACTTCACTCGATTGCAAAAACATTGACCCCCGAAAATCATGTTCAATCCTTTACTTTTTCATTGTTCATGAAAATCTTTGTTTACATCAATTCTATTCTTTCAGGAAAGCGTGGATGGCTTCTATCATTTACCGCGCGCAACTTGTTGTACTGTCCGGTTGTAAAACTGTAGGCTACTTTCAAAAGAAGTACGAAAACTCCTCCATAAAAGCTGAAATTTTTATTCTCCAACAACAAAGATAGGACTGAAATGGAAGTGCTTTTATAGTCATACAACACTGTACTGCAGCTGACGATAAAAAGCTGTTGTTTGTTCGTTGTTCTGTGGACTAATTTCAAAAAAGGATTTTCATTATCTTTTGTGTAAGAAGTTTTTGTTGCTTAAGTATGAAAATAAACGCGTTAAAAATAGCTATATGAACCGACGTTTCGGAGTCTTCGTGACACCATTGTCGAGGTAGATGTTAGGAGAATGAATTCTGCGGGTATTAATTATTGTATGATAAAATATGCGAGATTAAATTACAGAAAAACTTCAACACGGATTGAGTCAGATTGCACGTTCAGAGTTGGTTTCAGTTCTCTGATGAATAACATCTCGTGCACTAATTAATCGAATTTATTTTTGCATTTCTTTAGAACATCGAAGCGCTTCAGTAAGTATGGACAGACGTAAACGACAGTCATCTTCTTTAAATAATAAATTCTACCAAGACAAACATGTCAAACATGGCAAGTTCCCTGAACATCTTCTAAGGCGCATCGATGTTCTTAAGTAAAGGGGGTTTAAACGAATGCCACCATTGCAGGAAAAATTGAAAACTCACTCAACCAAGAAATCGTCGTTTTAAAACACTTTATGGAAATGATAGCAAGAATTCCGAGAAAACGACAATGTTCTCCCGACATGAGTGGGGTGAGGAAATTAGCTTGTTTACGTTTCACTGGGTAACAAAGCGATGGAAAGCGTATTATAAAATCTAAAAAGCATAATCGTGCAGATATGCTTCTTCCATGTTGAGAGTAGAGAAATTTCACAACAAAAAAGACATCCAAATTCCATTCAGTACATGTTATAGCACAGAGTTCATTTTTAGTGACATTCATCCCTGGTTATCAACATAAACTGAGGTCCACAATTTGCAACGCTGCCACGAGCATGATTTATCGGTCAGTTCTGCTCTTCCAATTTGATTTTGTTGAGATGAAGCTGTCAAATTAAAGGGGGCTCTAAAAAACCTGCCTCCATCACAGAAAACATTGAAAACACTCTCGAAATCATTTGTCGCGTTTTGAAAAATAACATTGAATGGAAATGAGGACCAGGATTCCGAGAAAACGGTAATGTTCTCAATTCTAACATCGATCCGAAGACAAAAGAATTTTATTCCCACAGCGGATGGTCTGTGAAATTAATTACGGTGTAATGAAGTTCAGTGAACTGCTTTTTGGGCAGATTGCCGCTAGACTCATTATTACTTTCAATGTTACATTAGCGAGATAACAGTGAAAATCTCGAGGGAAAACATCGACCAACGTCCGGTTTCATCACGCTTCCGTGCTCATTTCTCTCTATTGCTATTGAAACGTCATTGACACGAAACCGAAATTGTTACGCACGCGTTCATGAAAAATGAATAAATTACCACTTTCGTGATAAACACCTCCCTTTACAACTGTAGAATTGTGAACTTCGTAGATGTTGCAAGACTACAAAGGACCATTCGCAACGGAAAACGAAATTTAGAAGATAAACGATTCCTATTGCTGACATTGAGCGAAATTCTTCGATACATGATGCGTCTTAAGCACGTCTCGAACACACATCGCGAAGGCGTTGAAGAGACCGCTTATTCAGCAAATTGGATAGTACTTAACGTGGCAACGTTTCCAATAAGATTGTACAGTCCAAAATTTTCTTTGATTCACTATGTACCATCATCCGTAACCAAGCAAAAATGATCAACGACAGGATAAATCTTCTGAGCGGACGTTCCTCGGCTGGTTACGCTTTAGTTACAGCGATAAAAACTGTCGCCATATTGTTCGTGATCATCCTGGCAGTTCAGGGCGTATTTCATTTACCATATTATTTCTGCGGATTATGTGGATATTTCGTTGATGTGAGTTGTGTAAATATTACTTTAATGAAGATCTGGGTTATTTTTAAGTGGGTTCTCTGTTTCATCTGGAACGTATTCCCGGAACCGATCAAAGCCATCCGATCTTGCCTAAGGTCTACAACATTACGTAACGCGGTTACTATTTTTCATCTTTCTTAGACTAGGCCTTAAATTTGAGAATCGAATGGAGAAGTTTTTGGCAACTGTGTTCATTGTGCAGCATAGTGAAAATGACGATGCTTTGGGTTAAATCTATTTCTAGGTGGACTCATGAAAAATTCATTGTTTCCGGATACCCAGATTATCTTTCTAGATTGTCGCGTGCACAGCTGTATGTAAATTTCTGAATGGTTTCCTTCCAGCGTCTTGTTAGAGGCACTTCTTGATGCTACCTATTTCAATCAGTTTTTGGTCCAGTTTATAGAAGCATTAGCCTCATCGTGGTCCCTATGAAATAACATAACGTATAATTATTGCCGAAACGCATATACAGGGAACAAAAGTTTATTGTAAGGGTTGGTTTTTCATTGTTTACGATGAACAGAGACAGCTTGTAGCCAGCTAATTACAATCAGGCTCATAACAGTTTATCTTGTAAAGACACTGGAAAATTCATTAACAAATTAGAAATAATACCCAGTTAAAACTAGCTACCTCTAACTTGACTGTTTCAATCGATCTGCATTAAAATCAACTCACATTTTCATTCTGTTTCTTAGGGAACAAACCCACGAGAATTTACAGAAGAAACTTCTCTGCAAGAGCTAATGCAAAAGGAGCAGACATATAGGATCTTTGCGGTGTTAAATTCGCTTGGTCAGCTAAGAAATCTAAAATTTGGAAGGAAAGGGGGTCGTTAAATCTTCATGCCCACCCTCTGTACATAATTTTTTATTCGCCTAGCCTTGCCTCATAGGATTCATTGGACACCTGTCACTAAACCATATCTTCCGCCCCTTACTCCTCAACTTTTCAAAAACCCGACATCATAGCATTAATTTTTAAGTAGAAGAAATAAAAACCAGAGACATCGTTTATTTTTAAGTATAAATAAGCCATTTTTATTACTCTTTTTAAGCTCTGAACTGTGAAACTGGTACAAAAAAATTATTACTCATTACATTGCAGTATTCGCTTTCACTGCGGTAGCTCCCTTGGCTGTTGTGTTAACTGTTCTTCTCAGTGTTGCGTGGAATGATGGTGAGTAAAATATTTAAGATATCTGTTGGGAAACATAAGCAGTAGATGTATGAAGGTACCAAAGGCCGCTGTGTAGTTAGTACTGCAGCTCTTCTCTAACAAATGTTAAAAACTTTCTGGTGGACATTAAGTCATACATTAAAATTGTTTCTTCAGTGAGAAAACTTTTAACAAAACGGGCCAAGAAAAAAATTGTGTTTCGTAATTATGATTAGAATTTCTCCCCCAGATGTGTGGATGAATATAGATACCAGCTACTGCTTGATTTTGACTGTTTGAGACTAATAAGGTCATGAGTATATAACTAGTTATATACATTATAACTACTTATCAGCGAATTATTGTATCATCTCAATAGTCTTTGTTTGTTTGTGCAGCTAGAGTCCAATGGAGACTTTCTGCTCTGTCATGACCGTGTGATAGGAGCTAATTATGATTAAGTTGATAAGTTCGTGAACTGTGCAAGGATTTTCTTTTTTTTCTTTTTTTCTTTTTTTCTTTTTTTGTTGAAGAGCCGGCGAAAACAGGAGAAAGTGAAAGTCATAAACGAAGTGCTGCAGGTATAGACAGTTGAACAAACAAGAATATTTTCAAAAGTATGACAGTGCCTTTTATCGAATTATGCTAAAGATTTCTGTGTAACCACGCCTCTTCTCTTGGTAATAAATAGATAATTGAATATATTTTTCCCCAGGTTGCAGAGGGACGAGTCCGCAACAGAGAAAAAATCGATATCGGAAGCACGAGGAAGCAGGTATTATTGTCATGCTTATTTGAGGTAAGCAAATCAGAACTATCAACGATATGCTAAACAAAAACGATTGATCAAGAAAAAGACGACCGAGAAGGTCATGACGACTTTAATGGAATAAGTATATCAATAAGTATATCAGCGAATCATTGCAGCATCTCAATTGCCTTTGTTCGTTTGTGCAGCGAGAGTCCAATGGAGACTTTCTGCTCTGTCATGACCGTGTAGTCGGAGTTAATTATGATTAAGTTACTAAGTTCGTGAACAACACAAGGAATTGTTTCCTTTTTCAGATGAGCCGACGAAAGAAGAAGGAAGTGAAAGTCACCAACATAGCGCTGCAGGTATGACAGTTGAACAAGCAAGAATATTTTCAAAAGCATGACAGTGCCTTTTATCGAATTACAAACAAAACGCTGCAGGTATGAACAGTTGAAAGAACAAGAATATTTTCAAAAGCATGACGATGCCTTTTATCGAATTATGCTAAAGATTTCTGTGTAACCACGCCTCTTCTCTTAGAAATAAATAGACAATTGAATGTATTTTTCCCCAGGTAGTAAAGGGACGAGGTCTTAATTTGTCCTTTTGTGCAGCTGGAGTCCAATGGAGACTTTCTGCTCTATCATAACCGTGTACTCGGAGTTAGTTATAATTATGTTGATAAGTTCGTGAACTGCACAAGGAATTGTCTCTCTTTTTCAGAAGAGCCGGTTATAAAAGAAGAAAATGAAAGTTACAAACGAAGCGCTGCAGGTATAAACAGTTGAACAGACATGAATATTTTCAAAAGCATGACAGTACCTTTTATCGAATTATAGTAAAGGTTTTTGTGTAACCACGCCTCTTCTCTTGGAAATAAGTAGATAACTAAATATATATTTTTTTCCCCAGTTAGTAGAGAGACGAATCCACAACAGAGAGAACATGGAGGTTGGAGTCACATGAAAGCAGGTATTATTGTCATGCTTATCTGAGGTAAGCAGATCAGAACTATCATCGATATGCTGATCAAGAACGATCGATCAAAAAAAAAGAAGACCGAGAAGGTCATGACGACTTTAAAGGAATAAGTATATCGATACGTATATCGGCGAATCGTTGCAGCATCTCAATTGCCTTTGTTCGTTTGTGCAGCTAGGGTCTAATGGAGACTTTCTCCTCTGTCATAACCGTGTACTCGGAGTTAATTATGATTAAGTTAATAAGTTCGTGAACTGCACAAAGAATTGTTTCCCTTTTTCAGAAGAGCCGGTGAAAGAAGAAGGAAGTGAAAGTCACAAACAAAACGCTGCAGGTATGAAAAGTTGAACAAACAAGAATATTCTCAAAGGTATGACAGTGCCTTTCATCGAATTATGTTAAAGATTTTGGTGTAACCACGCCTCTCCTCTTAGAAATAAATAGACAATTGAATGTACTTTTGCCCAGGTAGTAAACGGACGAGGTCTTTGGTTGTTTGTGCAGCTAGCGTCCGATGGAGACTTTGTGCTCTATCTGATGACCGTGTACTCGGAGTTAATTATGACTAATTTGATAAGTTCGTGAACTTCTCAAGGAATTGCAGCATCTCAATTGTCTTTAAGTTAATAAGTTCGTGAACTGCACAAGGAATTGTTTCCCTTTTTCAGAAGAGCCGACGAAAAAAGGAGAAAATGAAAATTACGAGCGAAGCACTACAGGTATAAACAGTTGAAAGAACAAGAATATTTTGAAACGTATGACAGTGCCTTTTATCGAATTATGGTAAAGATTAATGTCTAACCACGCCTCTTCTCTTAGAAATAAATAGAAAATAGAGTATATTTTTCCCCAGATTGTAAAGGGGCGAGGTCTTTGTCCGTTTCTGCAGCTGGAGTCCAATGGAGTCTTTCTGCTCTATCGTGACCGTGCACTCGAAGTTAATTATAATTAAGTTGATAAGTTCGTAAACTGCTCAAGGAATTGTTTCTCTTTTTTAGATGAGCTGGCGAAAAACGGAGAAAATGAAAGTTACAAACGAAGTGCTGCAGGTATAAACAGTTAAACAGACATGAATATTTTCAAAAGCATGACAGTACCTTTTATCGAATTATAGTAAAGGTTTTTGTGTAACCACGCCTCTTCTCTTGGAAATAAGTAGATAACTAAATATATGTTTTTCCCCAGTTAGTAGAGGGACGAGTCCACAACAGAGAGAACATGGAGGTTGGAGTCACATGAAAGCAGGTATTATTGTCATGCTTATCTGAGGTAAGCAGATCAGAACTATCATCGATATGCTGATCAAGAACGATCGATCGAAAAAAAAGAAGACCGAGAAGGTCATGACGACTTTAAAGGAATAAGTATATCGATACGTATATCGGCGAATCGTTGCAGCATCTCAATTGTCTTTAAGTTACTAAGTTCGTGAACTGCACAAGGAATTGTTTCCCTTTTTCAGAAGAGCCGACGAAAGAAGAAGAAAGTGAAAGTCACAAACAAAGAGCTGCAGGTATAAACAGTTGAACAAACAAGAATATTTTCAAAAGCATGACAGTGCCTTTTATCGAATTATAATAAAGATTTCTATGTAACCACGCCTCTTCTCTTGGAATATACAGACGATAGAATGTAATTTTCCACAGGCAATAAAGGGACGAGGTCTTTGTTCGTTTGTGCAGCTAGAGTCCAATGGAGACTTTATGCTCTATCATAACCGTGTACTCGGAGTTAATTATAACTAAGTTGATAAGTTCGTGAACTTCTCAAGGAACTGTTTCTTTTTTTCAGAAGAGCTGGCGATAAAAGGAGAAAATGAAAGTTACAAACGAAGCGCTGCAGGTATTAACCGTTGAACGTACAAGAATATTTTCAAAAGCATGATAGTGCCTTTTATCAAATTATAGTAAAGGTTTTTGTGTAACCACGCCTCTTCTCTTGGAAATAAGTAGATAACTGAATATATATTTTTCCCCAGTTAGTAGAGGGACGAGTCCACAACAGAGAGAAAATGGAGGTTGGAATAACATGAAAGCAGGTATTATTGTCTTCTTATCTGAGGTAAGCAGATCAGAACTATCACCGATATGCTGATCATGACGACTTTAATGGAATAAGTGTATCGATAAGTATATCGGCGAATTATTGAAGCACCTCAATCGTCCTTGTTCGTTGTGCAGCTAGAGTCCAATGGAGACTTTCTGCTCTGTCATGACCGTGTACTCGGAGTTAATTATGATTAAGTTGATAAGTTCGTGAACTGCACAAGGAATTGTTTCCCTTTTTCAGAAGAGCCGGCGAAAGATGGAGGAATTGAAAGTCATAAACGAAGTGCGGCAGGTATAAACAGTTGAACAAACAAGAATATTTTCATAAGCATGACAGTGCCTTTTATCGAATTATGATAAAGATTTCTATTAACCACGCCTCTTCTCCTGGAATAAACAGACGCTAGAATGTAATTTTCCACAGGCAGTAAAGGGACGAGGTCTTTGTTTGTTTGTGCAGCTAAAGTCCAATGGAGACCTTCTGCTCTGTCATGACCGTGCACTCGGAGTTAATTATGTTTAAGTTAATAAGTTCGTGAACTGCACAAGGGATCGTTTCTCTTTTTCAGAAGAGCCGACGAAAGAAGAAGGAAGTGAAAGTCACAAACAAAGCGCTGAAGGTATAAACAGTTAAACAGACATGAATATTTTCAAAAGCATTACAGTACCTTTTATCGAATTGTAGTAAAGGATTTTTTGTAACCACGCCTTTTCTCTTGGAAATAAGTAGATAACTAGATATATATTTTTCCCAGGTAGTAGAGAGACAAGTCCGCAACGAAGAGAAAATGGATGTTTGAATTACATGGAACCAGGTATTGAAGTCATACCTATCTAAGGTGAGAAGATTAGAACTATCACCAATATCCTGATCAAGAACGATAGATCAAGAAGAAGACCGAGAAGGTCATGACGACTTCAATGGAAGAAGTATATCGATAAGTATTTCGGCGAATCATTGTAGCATCTTAATTGTCTTTGTTTGTTTGTGCAGCTAGAGTCCAGCGGAGGATTTCTGCTCTGTCAAGATTTCCCATATGGAGCGCTGCAGGTATAAACAGTTGAACAAACAAGAATATTTTCAAAAGTATGACAATGCCTTTTATCGAATTATGGTAAAGATTTCTGTGTAACCACGCCTCTTCTCTTGGAAATAAATAGATAATTGAATGTATGTTTCCCCAGGTTGTAGAGGGACGAGATCTTTATTCGTTTGTGCAGCTAGAGTCCAATGGAGACTTTCTGCTCTATCATGACCGTGTACTCAGAGTTCATTATGATTAAGTTTATTAGTTTGTGAACTGCACAAGGAATTGTCTCTCTTTTTTAGATGAGCTGGCGAAAAACGGAGAAAATGAAAGTTACAAACGAAGTGCTGCAGGTATAAATAGTTAAACAGACATGAATATTTTCAAAAGCATGACAGTACCTTTTATCAAATTATAATAAAGGTTTTTGTGTAACCACGCCTCTTCTCTTGGAAATAAGTAGATAACTGAATATATATATTTTTCCCCAGTTAGTAGAGGGACGAGTCCACAACAGAGAGAACATGGAGGTTGGAGTCACATGAAAGCAGGTATTATTGTCATCTTATCTGAGGTAAACAGATCAGCACTATCAACGATATGCTGATCAAGAACGATCGATCAAGAAAAAGAAAACCGAGAAGGTCATGACGACTTTTAAGGAATAAGTATATCGATACGTATATCGGCGAATCGTTGCAGCATCTCAATTGTCTTTAAGTTAATAAGTTCGTGAACTGCACAAGGAATTGTTTCCCTTTTTCAGAAGAGCCGACGAAAGAAGAAGAAAGTGAAAGTCACAAACAAAGCGCTGCAGGTATAAACAGTTGAACAAACAAGAATATTTTCAAAAGCATGACAGTGACTTTTATCGAATTATAGTAAAGATTTCTATGTAACCACGCCTCTTCTCTTGGAATAAACAGACGATTGAATGTAATTTTCCACAGGTAGTAAAGGGACGAGATCTTTGTTCGCTTGTGCAGCTAGAGTCCAAAGAAGACTTTATGCTCTATCATAACCGTGTACTCGGAGTTAATTATAACTAAGTTGATAAGTTCGTGAACTTCTCAAAGAATTGTCTCTCTTTTTCAGAAGAGCTGGCGATAAAAGGAGAAAATGAAAGTTACAAGCGAAGCGCTGCAGGTACTAACCGTTGAACGTACAAGAATATTTTCAAAAGCATGACAGTGCCTTTTATCGAATTATAGTAAAGGTTTTTGTGTAACCACGCCTCTTCTCTTGGAAATAAGTTGTTAACTAAATATATATTTTTTTTCCCAGTTAGTAGAGGGACGAGTGCACAACAGAGAGAAAATGGAGGTTGGAATAACATGAAAGCAGGTATTACTGTCTTCTTATCTGAGGTAAACAGATCAGAACCATGACAGGACGGAAAAACGTGTGGACTGTAAGTACCTCCCGTTGTCCCATACAAAGCCTTAGAAAACTTTTCTAAGGCTTTGTATGGAACAACGGGAGGTACTTACAGTGCATGCTTTATCCGTCCTGTCATGATCACCGATATGCTGATCATGACGACTTTAATGGAATAAGTGTATCGATAAGTATATCGGCGAATTATTGAAGCACCTCGATTGTCCTTGTTCGTTTGTGCAGCTAGAGTCCAATGGAGACTTTCTGCTCTGTCATGACCGTGTACTCGGAGTTAATTATGATTAAGTTGATAAGTTTGTGAACTGCACAAGGAATTGTTTCCCTTTTTCAGAAGAGCCGGCGAAAGAAGAAGGAAGTGAAAGTCACAAACATAGCGCTGTAGGTATAAACAGTTGAACAAACAAGAATATTTTCAAAAGCATGACAGTGACTTTTATCGAATTATGGTAAAGATTTCTATGTAACCACGCCTCTTCTCTTGGAATAAACAGACGATAGAATGTAATTTTCTACAGGCAGTAAAGGGACGAGGTCTTTGTTCGTTTGTGCAGCTAGAGTCCAATGGAGACTTTCTGCTCTGTCATGACCGTGCACTCGGAGTTAATTATGATTAAGTTAATAAGTTCGTGAACCGCACAGGAAATCGCTTCTCTTTTTCAGAAGAGCCGACGAAAGAAGAAGGAAGTGAAAGTCACAAACAAAGCGCTGAAGGTATAAACAGTTAAACAGACATGAATATTTTCAAAAGCATTACAGTACCTTTTATCGAATTGTAGTAAAGGATTTTTTGTAACCACGCCTTTCCTCTTGGAAATAAGTAGATAACTAGATATGTATTTTTCCCAGATAGTAGAGAGACGAGTCCGCAACAAAGAGAAAATGGATATTTGAATTACATGGAACCAGGTATTGATGTCATACTTATCTGAGGTAAGCAGATTAGAACTATCACCCATATGCTGATCAAGAACGATAGATCAAGAAGAAGACCGCGAAGGTCATGACGACTTCAATGGAAGAAGTATATCGATAAGTATTTCGGCGAATCATTGCAGCATCTTAATTGTCTTTGTTTGTTTGTGCAGCTAGAGTCCAGCGGAGAATTTCTGCTCTGTCAAGATTTCACATATGGAGTGCTGCAGGTATAAACAGTTGAACAAACAAGAATATTTTCAAAAGCATGACAGTGACTTTTATCGAATTATAGTAAAGATTTCTATGTAACCACGCCCCTTCTCTTGGAATAAACAGACGATTGAATGTAATTTTCCACAGGTAGTAAAGGGACGAGGTCTTTGTTTGTTTATGCAGCTTGAGTCCAATGGAGACTTTATGCTCTATTATGACCGTGTACTCGGAGTAAATTATGATTAAGTTTATTAGTTCGTGAACTGCACAAGGAATTGTCTCTCTTTTTCAGAAGAGCTGGCGATAAAAGGAGAAAATGAAAGTTACAAACGAAGCGCTGCAGGTATAAACAGTTGAACGTACAAGAATATTTTCAAAAGCATGACAGTGTCTTTTATTGAATTATAATAAAGGTTTTTGTGTAACCACGCCTCTTCTCTTGGAAATGAATTGACAATTGAATGTATTTTTCCCCAGGTAATGAAGGGACGAGGTCGCGACAGAGAGAAAAAGGACGTCGGAAGTACAAGGAAGCAGGTATTGTTGTTATGCTTATCTGAAGCAAGTAGATTTGAACCATCAGTGATATGCTGATCAACAACGATCGATCACGAACTACCTTGATACATAGCACATTTGTGGCAACTTCGTGCCTAGATCCTTACAAAAGCGCTTCGGTTCTTTATGTAAACCTCCAGGCTGACCGTAAAGGTCAACATGCAGAGAACTGGTCCCACAGGTTAGAACATTCTACAGAGAGGACTGAAATGTCCAACCATACACAGTTTCCACTCAAAGGCAGCACACTCTCCTCAATTATATGATGACGCTGAGTGTTGGTCTGACTAGGGCTCGTATCCTTGACGACCTTCATAGTAGTCTGACGCCCTATCATTTGATTTAACTGGGTGGAAATTAACAGTAGGGTTAGGGTTAACACAGTTACAATAGGAACTGAATTTATGTACCCTTCCTTGGTAAAGAACTGACCTTTGTACTACGCGTAGAGGACTTGGGCATTATACTTGACTCAAACATGTCATTTAATGATCATATATTTTCACTTAGCACCTCTTTGTTATCAGTACTATGTCAAATTAAAAGAGTGCGACATCTTTTCTCTAGAGAGGTACTACACACAATTTTAAACTCATTAGTATTAAGCAAACTGTTTTACTGTTCCACTGTCTGGGCCGGAACATCAAAGATCAATCTTCACAAGCTGCAGCTGATTTAAAACTTTGCAGCACGCACTTTGACAAAACTAGAAAGTTTTACCACAAAACGCCAGTCCTCAAAGAACTCGGCTGGCTCACCATTGAAAAGTTGCTAAACCTACGGAATGTCACAATATATGATATACAAATTTTTTAACGGGCTAGCCCCAACATATTTGAGCTCCAAGCTAGTTAAAAACTTGGACATTCAAAAGCACTAAACTAAATCGAAAGACCAGCTTAGAGTGCCGAGGTGTAGGATAGCTACCACTCAGCACGCATTTTTGTGTGGCTTACACGAACTGTAAACCACGCAATGTCATGATCCAAGATATTTATTCCTGGATTTGTCACGGTGAACGGAGTGCTTGTCATGTGGTTTACTATCGTCGAGGATAGGTTCCAGTCTACGCTCGGTTAAGTTACGTAAGCTTCAAAGCTTCAGAAAGCGGCCATTTCATATTAATGGGTGTGGCTTGAATCTGATCAGCAGACCTGCTTGAGAATATCGGAGAATATCGGAGAATATCTGAATGTGTCTGAGAGTATTTGAAAGCCTCTGAAATTACTTTAAAGCAAAAGAGATCCTCCTGCAGTGCTTGGGTTTTCCTTGCTGTTGTTGCTGTTGAATCGAATTAGACGAACCATGCAAAAACAGTTGACAAGAGTCTGTTAGCCCAAGATTTCGTCAGATGTAAGTAATGTGGGAATATTTGTTGAACAATACCGATCAAAAATCGACTCTCGTGACAAATTCCTTAAAAAAAAAAGATGCTTTGTCGCGTATCGTTTTAGGAATATAATGCTAATGATCTTTTACTTGAATGTCTTTCAATTACCAACATTGATACAAGTTGTTGGACAGTACAAAATGTGGAATAAAGTAGTGTTTTGGTTTGCCTAACATGAAAACCTTGGTGCTAAATGTCTATTGTGAATGATCCCAAACTTTGGGGACGTAATACATTGAAACTGAGTAACAAAGTGGTTTCGCTTTTATCAAAATAAGAATAGGAGCCTAGTAGTTTAATGTTACTAATGAAATGTGATTAGTATTATGTTTTCCAAGTAAAGCCCAGAATTATTCAGACCTTAACATTTCATGACTTCTTGTAAGCTTGGCAGTCTTCGAGATTCTCTTCATAATAATTCGGATAAGCATCGTTATTTTTTTTTCAGTGGGCACGGTGATAAATCCTGCAATCTGATTGGTTCTTTACGCCGTCCGTATGATCCTATCTCTGCCTATGGGAAACGGTAACGCTTTCGTGAGTTGCCGAGTACATCCCTACATCGTCGCCATTTTTCATGAATATATCTCGTTTTTCTGGCTGGGCAGTATTTTAAAGCAAAGACATCGGTCACTTCCTCAAACAAATAAATAACTAATAATCCTCTCTTTTTCTCTCTCAAATCACTTTAGTTCAAAATGAATTTGTATGAGCAACAGTGTCATTACGTTGGTTGACAAGCGGCCTAAAAAACCATCTGCAATTTTAATCGTTCACAGAAAGAACCTAGAAAGTTAAAACGTGAGTTATTTGGTTACACCTGAACTAATCGATGGAACTTCCTTTCATTTAATATATCTGAATTTTCTCAAACAATTTATTCGTTGTGAAAGGGCGAGCGAAGTCTTAATTTCAGTTTTACAACAAATATACGCTCTCGGTGAGTCTTTCCAAGTCCATTCAACTTGAACATTCGTTCCGTAAATTGCACAACAGAAACTGAAGGAATTCTATGAGAAAAGGCCGCATTAAATCCCATTGTGTCTCGTTAGAGTGTATCATTCGAATTTAGTTTTTTTGGAGGAAAGACCAGATTTACACACGCCATTGCAGCAAACAAACAAGCAAACCCTCACAATTACTTTCCTCACCGTTTACTTAATGAACAGAGGTAAATCTTCGTACATGAATTAATCGTCGATGAGAGTGAATAATACTTTCCGTAATATCATTGACTGTTTTTTAAGAAAACATTGTCGTGACAGTCTTTGCCAAACTAGTTTCGATGTTTTTCAAAAGTGTACATGCGCTTTTTTTCTTCTCACGCGCTCTCTGATTTACAGGTGTCAGATTGTGACAGATACTTGCAAAAATAATGTTTCAAAGTTTGTTTGGAAGCCTTTTAAATCACCTTTATCATTACGCAAATGAAAATCACCTCTATTTTATCTACCATTTACTCGCTCAAGAATTGTTCACTTTATGGAAGATCTTGCCGTATCTACAGCCCTCAATCATTCGGGTTCTTTCGAAAAGAATTTCGTTAAGTTTAAAAATGTTATTTACCGGCTAAGGTGCGGTCCGTATTGTGAAAAACTGTGACCTCGGTCTTGAAAATTTTCAAGATGCTGATGTTCACAGTTTTTCACCATTTCAGTCCCTGAATAATTTTTGAATCATTGAATATAGTTTTACCAGCTCTGAATTACGATTCTCTCTTCGTTAATTCCATTCAGGTAGTGTTAGCTAACTAAGTACAGATATACAAGCCTTAGAATCTTATTATTTGGCGGTTGTCTTTAAGTAACTCAGTTTATAAACCAATGGTGCCTATACCTGGTACTTTACTGGAACTTTGATCTGCGAAATCATATTTAAAGGTGATAGAAAAACCAGAACACAAGAAGACGAGGAGAGAGCTAGGAAAAGAAGAGGAGAAGGTAAAGTACACTGCAAGAAATGGGCCACAGTGTTACACTTAATTCAACTGAACTGTGGTGGATTACGGTAATAGTTCCTGCATCTAAACCGATACGATTGCTTAATTTGATGTTCCCTCTTAAGCTAAAGCATCGATTCAAATGAAGTCACAAATAGGAATCACAGTTCCTGTTCTTTAATTTTAAATCCCTTAAGATAAAGTAGCATTTTCATATTACCCTTCACAAACCGCAGCTTCATCCCTTGTCGGCGATAGTGAGTCTACACCATACCTCTGGCAGTTCAAAGAAGCAGATTCCTATACTTGGAAAAATTTCGGCCGCTCTGACAATGTTGTTCTGGAAGAGCTTTACTGTGACGTAAACAATGTGGAGGTTGAAATCGAACTTGAAGACACCACAATAAGGTTAGTACGTGTTTATTCTTAAACAATAAGGGAAACGTATATATTTGCTCACAAAAGGTACAATTTTTTATACCTTTAGCCAGAAACTTTGGTAACCTTATAATTACCGTGAACATCCTACTTGAAAAGGATGTCTATGGAGACCACAGATCACCAAAATGTTCGGCCGTTTAACTTTTTTTCTTGAGGTTATAAAGCGGGTTCGTTTAGAGAAGAATACTGCTCCACAGAAGCCAGTCAATTTCTCGGCAAAACTCTATATCTGTAAAATACTTCAGTAACTTCGTACGTTTTATAGCATCTGCTATCTCGTGCGACACTTTAGCATGTGTCAAGGCTTCAGTTAGTTATTATCATTCTGCTGCGTGATTGTATTAGCGACGCAGAATGAGACTAGGAGAAACGGAAGAAGATTGGAAATAGTTGTAGTGAAGTACCGCAGCCTGCGAGCGGGCTCTCACTGGTGCGGCAAAGGAGTAAAGGAGGGAAACGAGAGGTCTGAGAGGGGTCTGGCACTAACGTTTGTGCTAGAAACAAGGCGGATCTCCCGCAAGCTCACATTGCTTATCCGCTCAAACGCGCGGGCTTCACCGCTTGTGACGCAGCGCCAATTTGAGCCTGCAAGTAGACCGGTAGCGCTGCAGTTCACTAAAAAAACGTCTGGAATAGGCTTAGGCAGTGTCGCTCTTTTTTGTTTCTTTTCAGACATACAAGAAAGCTATCAGGAAAGATGTCAGCCAATTTTCATACAATGTCCATGAGCTTGATTTCCTCCTTTAACCAGTTTTTGATCCGTCGATGCTCAACACCGTCTTACATCAAAGAACGCGACAACAAGTTTCCCACACTGTGGGTTTGGTATTGGGAAGACATCGATGGATGGAAAAAATATACTGAAACAAAGGTAAGTAGCGGTAGCTACTACGCAAAAATACGATCACACAATGGCCCGGGTATGCCAGATGTCTGAGAATGTGAGAGGTCCTGTCACTGACCAGGTGCTCACGCAGATGTGTGGATAAATACCGAGAGGTTTCGCCAATAGGACCTCTAACATTTTCAGACATTTATATAGTTCTCCACAATGTCGCACTCTATGTTCTGATGAGTGTTTTAGCATCTTAGATCACGCATCCACAACTTTCCAACGTAAAATTAAAGCTATCCACATATAATGGGAGAAACCTACACTTAATCATCAACTTTATCATGTTAATTAAAAACTTTCCTTGTAATGCATACATTGTTCTGTTACTATTGGTCGCTATGTCCAATCAGCATTTTGTTATACACTTTATATTCAGCTTTGTACTTTGTATAAATCAGAAGTGAAGATGACAGAGGAACTGTCGAAACATGTTTTTAAAAAGTGTCTTTTTTTTTTGCAAGTAAAAGTTTGACGAACAAGATAAAATATATGCACTTTACATGACAGCTTAGATGAAAATAAAAAGAGAAGAGAAATCTTGGGGCTGAGGTTTCATGGTTATGGATGGTCCAAACTTAAAATCCTTAAAACTTCTGTTTTAGCTTTGTTCTGGAACAAAACAAGAGCAAATTGAAGCATCGTATCTAAATGGAGACCCTGCTTACTACTTTCAAATCGGTGGGAACGATTACGTCATACATTTTGAGGGTACACTTATGAACCAAAGGAGTGCAGATCCAAAAGTCCAAGCGGCTCGGCTCGTCAGAAGAAGACCAATGTTTGCTTCGAAGCCAGCACTGCAGCCCACAGTGACGTGAGTGAACACAGACTGTGCTCCAATTAGGTGGAGTTACCGATTTTTTTGAGAAGTCACTGAAAGAGGGAATATTCCTTTTGTAGGCTGTCCCGGGACGAAACTAGGCTTTCAATCGATGAAAAACCGAAACATAATAATGGTGATGATAATGATGATTTTAATAATTGACAGTCTCCATGTAAGTGGATGGTGTGTTCAGCATTGTTGCTCATCCATCAGATCTCCATGAACTCAATTAAAGCGACTGCACCTTCGCAAGACTTTTTCTGTTACAAGCAATGCAGATATCGTTCATCGTTTTCATTTTGCGACTGACTTAGAATTTGACGCAGGCTGAATTGTTCGCCATTGAAACCCTTGACTTGTTCTTGTATTGATTTTAGTTCATATAATCGTCCTTGACGAAGGGGGTTCGGGAAAAGTGTGTGAGGCATGGAAAATGCTTAATTTGTCAACTTAAGATTCGTTTCTGATAAACGTTTAGACATCGTGCTAAGTAATACCTCGACGCTTTCAGTAGGACTCAAGAGCTCAGGATCCCGTCTAACAACTCCCATCCTTGTTTCCTTGCCTTTGTTATTATTTCAGCAATCCGAAAGGTCAGGTAATAGCCGTTGAAAGAACTAACCTGAAAAAGGACACCAAAGAATACCGAACTGTGAGTGAGCGCTTTTACGAAACAATGCCGGAAGGCCAGGCCTCTATAGTGATGGTGGAAAAAATAACAAATGGTCATTTATTGCAGAAATACAAAAGGTAATTGCTGAGGAAGGGCTAATGGGAGGGAAAAATAATATGTACACCGGAACCTGTTCGTGATTAATTCTGCGTAGTTCAAGGGAGCCTAAGATGTGGGTATTAACTAACTCACAAAGTTAGTCTTAAGGGTTATTTCCGCCGCTTGGGTAAAATATAATCAGTGCGGACCGAAATAATGCTGTTTTCGAACGTAGACCGTCAATAGCTAAGCTTTTTCCTTTCACCTTTATCCAGAAAGAGCCAAGAAATGAGAGAGCAACTTAAACCTATACGTGAAAAGTTGCTGTTCCATGGTACTACATCAAATGTTGTTGATGCCATCTGCACACGCAACTTTGACCACAGAATGTGTGGGAAGAACGCGACAAAATATGGGCAAGGAATTTATTTCGCTGTAGACGCATCTTACAGCAATAACTTCAGCAAAGCTAAGGGTGACAGAACGAGATACATGTTTCTGGCAAAAGTGTTGACTGGAGAATTTAAGCGTGGAGAGCAAAATTTTCGTCGACCGCCATTGAAGGATCCAAGCAATCTGGCGGGTGATTTGTACGATTCTTGCGTTGACGACGAAAATCAATCAAAGATCTTTGTCATTTTTGATAACGAACAATGCTATCCTTCGTATTTGATTAAATATTACTTGAAATAGTTTTAGACATCAAAGTCAGATGCATCAAACTACGGTAGAAAGTCGGTCACAAGCGCATTAATAAATAAATAATTAAACAGTTACCACATATTACCGGTGGACTCAGTAGTTTACATTGTGGGCCAGAAAGAGAGAAAAAAAGGCAATTTATAATTGATTATGCTATATAAAAAAATATCATGAGAAGTCGAGTATTTCAAAAGTTAAAAATAGTGAAAAACAGCTAGTTAGCAAACATTCACTTAAAAAGGTATTTTGATAATCTGATCAGTTCCAGGGAGACCTGGACAACTGTAAGCTTTGAGGAACAGATAATGTCCAAAGACAAGTGAACGAGCACATTTTAGGGGCCAAATGGCGGTTATTGCGTGCAATATCCTTTAATATTTTTCCAACACGCGGGGAAAATGTTAACGAACAACTCGCTGTTTGCTGCTTGAAATGTTTCATTTTTATGTTTCATCTTCAATAACAACCGTTTTCATCTTAAATTCAATTTTAAACGAACGCTTTCATCGTAGTTAATGTAAGGTTTCAAAATTGGGGAAAATCACTAAGGGTGTATCCTCGGATATTTTACAGCTTTAGATGGGACATTAGTCTCCCAGTTTTAGATGGGCCACTACCGCTTTATAGAGGTGAACATTACAGTGCCGTTGATTAATAAGAAGCAGATTCGGGACCCTGAAAACCGACCGCTTAAAAAAGGATGACCGCTTTATAAGGTGCCGGTTAATACAGGGTTCCACTATATTATCAAATTACATTTTAAAGTGAATCTCTGTTATTGATTGTAATTTATCAGTATCAGTATTGTAGCACTTTAAAGTTGCATGTTCTGCCGAAAGGAAGTCATAAGTTATGGTCTTAACTTTCCCACGAGAGTCAATGATGTAATATGACCCTAATACGTAATAACGTCTGGGGTTTCGTTTTGTTTTAATTTTACTACAGTTTTATAGGCTTTCAGTTTTCTTTTCTTCAGTGGACCCCCTTGAAAACTACTTAGAGTGATAGAGGTCTCTCAAAATATGTAATTTATTATCAAGATTATTTTTTCCATTGTATAGTAGCAATTAGTGGTGCGTTGGTCCTCCATGCCCAGATGTCTAGGTATGAAGGTGTGTTAATGATTTTACAATAATTTCCCTTCAAAATAAATGTCAGCTTTTTACTTTTACAAAGTTTCCGATGGCTTGTGCGCTGGAATCCAGATCGACTCAGCAGTTAGCAGTCAGAGGTCTCTTTCTTCTTGGATCAATCGAACCCAATGCGTCTTTAATTTCACCTGGTTCTGTCTCTCTTGGGTAGTCAATCCTATTTGGGTTGTAGTTATCTGAAGGTAGAACCTTTCCTTTTTTTTCACCTGGTTCTGTCTCTCCTGGGTAGTCAGTCCTATTTGGGCTGTTGTTATCTGAAGGCAGAATCTTTCCTTTTTTTTTCACCTGGTTCTGTCTCTCTTGGCTAGTCAGTCCTATTTGGGCTGTTGTTATCTGAAGGCAAAACCTTTCCTTTTTTTATTTGTTTCTGTCTCTCATGGGGAGTTGCTTCATTTTAGACTGTTTGTTTTCATCTTATGACAAAATAATTTTGAGTATGAATCGCAACATAATTAAATTTACTTGTCTTGATTTTTTTCCTTTGCAAATTTAATTGAACGTTAACCATGAAAAATCATGATGAAAAAGCAAGGTTTGTTTCAATTAAAAAATATATATACTTCTCCTGTTGAGATGACTAACCAACCTTAACTTAATTACATATAGTAAATGTACGTTCCGTTGACAGGTAATTTTTCCGTCGATGCTGTGTCTGCCTTAGTGGTGTCTACCCTCAAATCCCGTGATGTTTCAATTAAAAATATATAACGAATTTAGGAATAAAATTACCAACGAGTAATACCTATTCTTGTAATGTATTAAATTGCATTTACATTTCCAACTCTACACTCAACTTGCTTAAAAATCAACTTCAGACACGATATGTAAAATCGGTCATAGATTGTAAAAGAGATTTGGGGGTAAAGTACTTTTTCTACTTGTCTTTGTTTATTTTCGCGCAGCCTAATATATGAAGTTAGCTGTGTTCGCAGCGGCGCGCCAGGAAACCCCGGCAGGAAAAAGGATTTAAGATTTTACTCCTTTAATGATCTCCTTAAAGTACATTACTTCCTTAGCATTAGCCTTTGTAAACAAAATTTTGATCATTGAGTTATATGATAAAATTTCTATGGCTTACATTGTACGCTTTAAAGGAAACTTGAGTTGTTAGTTCCACGCAAGGGTTTAACCTTGAAAAATGCAAGTACGCGAGTGTAGCTGACGTTAACGCGTGTCCCTATCAGGAAATATTCGTATTATGACATGAAGGGTCTGCTTTTTTGTGTTACTCTCGCCATTCAATTTGGACGCTGAAAAGTGCCAAAAAAGTAATTACTGAAAATTCATCCGCCAAACCTCGATCGTTCTGTGGGCGCGAACTCAGTTCTTCACTTACAGTTAATAATTGCCAGATCCGCCTCAACCTTATTTGCATTAATTCTTTTGCTGAGCAAAGCTCGTCTTGATAGCGCTAGCTAGCGTTACAAAGTATTAATTTTTTAAGGGGACTAAAGTTTCATTTTAAAAACACGCTAAATCATCGATTTCTGTAAAAATTTTCGAATGTGGGTATCTAGAGAGAGGAATTTTGTGGAGCAACTGTTTGGAATTTAAATTTAGAGCATATTGTTCGGGATTTGTTGTGTTTAGGACTAAGAAGGTATGACATTCATGTGACTCTAAGGGAGAAAGTCTACCTTAGTTCTTAGGTCATCATTTGCATTTTGCCCTTTGAAACTATTGAAAATTTGATTCACGAATGGTACTATAGAGTCAGAAAACTGTTCTTTTGAATAAAGAAATAGCGGATTTACGATGACTTCTGACGGTAGGTTGGCGAGGATGAAAGATACTATCAGGGATGTATGGAATTCTTCCTGTGGAAATGTTTACCAAACCGTCCAACCGACTTGGGATGCGTTTCGTGAATATGCCTCAGCCACTACAGAGCAGATTAAGATGCATCTTTACTCATTACATGCCGCCTGTGTTGAACAAAAGCAGTTCATTCAAGACAAACTAGATACCCTGAATGGCCGTTCTTCCGCTGGCCGAGCGTTTGTGAGAGCAATATACGTGGTGGCCATGTTTTTTCTGATCTCTGTCGCAATTGAATGCGCTTATTACTCCAGGCCAATTTATTGGAAGATTGTTGGATTCTCTGTTCATCTTCTGTACCTGGTTTTCATTTTCATCTTCCAATTTACGTGGATGGTCTTGATGACTATCGGTGTCGTGTCGACAATGAATTTCGTCTTTGGTGGGTTCATCGCCCTAGCGTTACGCAGTTGGTTTATGGAAGGTGTGAATCTCAACTGAAATACATCGCGATTGAATAATACGCGACTTCTAATTGATGTTAAAGTTTTGCAATTGATGGAAATCAAGAAAAACGTCATATGATTGCTCTCAAGACAACAGAAATATATTAATAATGATAATAGTAGTAGTAATAACAGAAGAGCAATAGTTACAAATGAACGCTAAAAAACTCGATGATGATTCGTGACTCTAGCGTGACTGATAAGCGATAGCACACAAACTGTCATTTTGGTCATCAGCTGTCATCTGCTGAGTCAAATTTTACTGTAATTAAGTTTTTATTTTTTTATAGAAAGCTGTCTAAAAAATAAATCAAGACAAAATGTTGGGGCGAACGAAAAAACGGTCCTCGCATAAAACATAAAACAAGAAAAGCCAGTACACGACTCAAAAGAATTTTAAGGGCGCAAACGCGGGTCGATGGCGTCATATTTTGCGCGGATTTACTTTCTAAATGTTATTGGTCGATAATAGAGCAGAGTAAAGTAAAAAAAGGTGTACGCCGAGTTAATTTTAACGAGGGCTACATTCTGCACAAGCATGAAATCACCATGCCGATCCAAACAGCCAAATGTTTTGACGTAAAGATATATAAGTGACTCAGATCTGGAGGTGATTGTCTGTTCATCTGTCTACTCCTTTGTTTATCTGTTTTCAAGTTATTGTTTTTAAGCATTTCATGGTTAAACTTGTCATATCATTCACAGTGAACTCGAAGAATCGCAGGATTCAGCGTTTAGATTTTACTCACGCTAATCTTGTGACTACCAGCCACTTCACGCACGCTTCACGTGCATCTCTTGACGTTTTTTAATGAATATTTCTAAGGCCAGCTAGCTTATTTGTATTTTCCTTTTGGATCACTTTTTGGTTCTTGTGAGTTAGAATTTAAGAAATCAGGCGTATCTCGAAGTATCTTTCTCCTCTTTCCTAAGGCCAACGCGGAACATTTATCATTTGACCAGCAGAAAGAGGAAAACTACTGCGCGCGCTAAATCATCTTACGTATGTTTCAAACGATTAAGATTTTATTCATTTCCTCGTGTTTTAATCAACAAAATTTCAAAATTGAGACACATAATCAGGGCAAAAACAGACAATTGTCGAGCAAATATCGCATCCACCCAAATTAGCAGGTGTAACAAAATCATTCACTTTTGCTCTAAAACGTCTACAAAACGTCTACAAAACGTCTACAAAACGTCTACAAATTTCATCAAAATTATACACATTCTGAGTGAAAGAACAAATAAAAGACTCCCTAGCAGTTTTTCTTTTAACCCTAAAGCAAACTTTCATTATTAAATGACAACTGGCTGCCACTACGAATTAATTTCTACCTTATTTAATAGATTTAACACCATGGTCAGGACTGGCCATTAAAGTTGTAACATCTCGCTTTTTCTTGCTGAGATGGAACCGAAATTCTCTTACAAACTACACACTGGGTATGGCCGGTAAGGATTACTGCGTTGTACCGCACTTGGTCTTCTGCTTAATCTTTCAATAAACACCGCATCCCTGCGATTGGGTGCAGTGTATACTCGTAGACGGCATTTAGTCGTAATAGACTTCTATCTGCGATGCTGTATCGTGTAAATAGAGCAACCAGGACTGTTTTACAGCAAACAACAGACCTAACTGCACAGTAATAAAATCAGGCAAAAGATTTAGAGCTAAGCGGAGGAATTAAATTTTTTACTCCAATTTTTTTTTTAAAGTCAGTAATGCACGAAAACGTGGAGATAAAGGAGTTCGACCCTAAAACGATTCAGTGAATGCATTTTTACGTCACATGATCATGCAAACTTTTTTCCTTTTTCCTTTTTCCTTATTCCTTTTTCCTCTATTTGTGTTATTTGCACCTGTTTTTGGAGATCCACTCGACCAAGATGTAGAACCAAGCCCACTATAAAGGGAAGTGTGAGAGCTTGCACGTCTCGGTTGGGGTCTTGCTGCCCTATATCCAGTGGGTATGTTCGACTGAGCAGATGCAGCTGGAGCTAAATAGGTACTACTGTTGCCGGCAGGTAGGCTCGGTTTAGATACTGTGCTAAGGCTATTGAGGGAAGGATGAGAACCTGCAGGTTTCAGCCGGGGTCTTGCTGCTGTATTTAGAGTGGTTGCCTTCGGCTGAGCATATACAGCGGGGGCTAAATAGCTGCTATTGTTGCCGGCAGGTAGGCTCGGTGGAGGAACTAGGCTAACGATATCAATGGAAGGGTGAGAACTTGCAGGTTTCAGCTGGGATATTCCTGCCGTATTTCGAGTGGGTGCCTTCGGCTGAGCAGCTACGGTGGGAGCTAAATTGCTGCTTATGTTCCTAGCAGGTTGGATCCTTTGATAATATGTGTCGAGGCTATTAAGGGAAGAGTTAGGTTTCGGTTGGGGTCTTGAGGTATTTAGAGCGAGTGTTTCCGGCTGGGCAGAGGAGTATTGGATTATGTATTCTGGGTATAATTGATCTGTGTCGAAGACCACAAAGATTGTGGGATTGGACTTGTTATTTACACAAGAGTCGTACAAATCGCTAGCGGGGTTTGATGGTTGCTTCAGCGGTGGTCTTCGATAATTGGAGCGACCTACTGCATAAGAACCAACGAGAACTTTGGTCAAGAACATGAATTGAGACATATTGCCATCTCTCTTTGCATAGGAATGGCTGTATGATGCACTCACTGCAAAATAGCTACCTTCACCATAGTTACACGCGTTTCTTCCGTGCAGACGCCAATCAAAGTTTTGTTTGCAGATGGCCTCCACCGAGTCTGGAGTGGTTCCATGAAACAAGTTCTTCTCGTTAACAGCCTGTGGATCCCTCCCTGCTCTTAGGCTCATGTTCTCTTTCTTCCTAACAAGAGGAAACAAAAGGACTTACTGTAGGTGACAAAAGATAATGGCCATTGCTGATCATTCATTTGCCCCTAAATTCCAATCTTGAAGTGTCCTGAGTTTTACCCACAAGAGTCCTCCAAGTATTTAAGGAACTTTATTTAGAGCAAAATGATTGATTGTCAATATAGTTATTAAAAATGTCATGCCAAGTGTACACGTTCTATTCAATTTCCCTACATTTAAGTATATGAATTTATTATATGGAAGGGAGTGTATTACCGGGAACTAAAACACTCGTAAAAAATCAATGCGGCTACCACATCCGGGAACTAAGTGGCATATTTTTCGTAAGTAACACGAATGGTCATATTGAGAAACGACGTCACAATCACCGCCTTTTACAACTTTGCTGAATGAACTTGGTTTTTTGTTTGGAATAATGCCCATCGCAAGATGAAATTGCATTTTCCGAACAACAAGAGAATGAGAACACAAAAAGAAAACGCCGTATGATCTAAAGACTTTCAAGGAATTCTCGAAAGTTGTGACGAGAAAAAGGTAGATCTTTGTTCTGTTCGTGCTGAACAGCCTTGAAAGGTTCGCACAGTGAACTTTTTATAATTTGAGGACCGGGTATTTTGTTTCCATTTATACTCAGTATTTGTATCAAAGGAAGCTTTTCAATTTCTGTCATGTATATTTATTGTCCATAAGATAAAAAGGGAATCACACGTTAGCTCAAAGATATGAGTTTTATATTCTCGTAGAACAAATTATATCTCACACGCTCGCTGCGCTCACGCATGAGGTATTTCTTTGTGACTCGGAAATAAAATCCATATCGTCTCTCCACCGTGTAATATCCTTTACATCGAAATTTTTATCAATACTTTGTGCAAGTTTATGGCTCTAGAACTCCCTTCTTTCATTTTGAATATTTTTATATACAGTTTTTTCCAAGTTATTTTTTCTTTTTCACCTGCAATACTTTTCCCACATAAAAGGGTTCTGTACACGCTCGATCCTTTCAATCGAAGTGTGGTTGTTGATCGACTTTTGGAACAACTGTTCCACTTCTTTATATTCCTGCGATGATGTCGTTAACGTGACGCGAATATACTGCGTATCGGGTGGCATGGAAGACCAGTGTTTTGGAACATTATACATGGCCGTTCTGTTTTCTATCTTTCTCATTCGTTTCTCCTTTCTCCTTTCTCCTCCTATTCTCTCTTCGTAAGCCCTAAAAAAAATGGAAAAAGATGAAAAAACTTGTAATTAAAAATATCATGAAACATGGTGATCCCCATTTCTTTCCCTCCCCGTCCAGCACCACGTAAGCTTGTTGAAAATAAAGAGCTCCCGGTAACAGTCTTTAGACTGTTAGTTGTTCAAAGCGTTTATATTTCGTGGTGCGTGATAGTTTTCGTGGCTTTAGCGACGTTTATCTTCCGTATCACTGAAGAACGGAATGAAGTAAAAGGGGGGAAAACCAAAGAAGGAATAAAAGGTTACTCATCATTTGGATTTCTACACGCTGACAACGATAAAACCGCAATATGTACATACCGTATCAAGTCTTTAATGTCCTCGTTTGTTAAAGCTTTTTCGGGTCGTCTTTTAACCTCCCTCTTGGTTCCAAATTTCAGATTTATTTGATGCATGTTTCTTGCTGAATGAAATACCAAATTGTATTCGTGCTCTGAGGTTTTAAACTTGTAATCGGGGCGGTCATCGAGAAAAGCTTTCTCTATACGGTCCTGCAGAATGCTCCCCTAGAAGAGCACAACACATTTAAGTTTATTTTCGTATTTTATTTTCTCCATAGCCTAGACTTACCAAGTAAGACATTTATACGAGCTTACCGAATGATCTTTATCGTACGCACACCAAACATTGTCATTGTCTTTCCAGTACCACGTCCAATTCGTACTCATGACACCACTTTCAGTTTCATAAGCAGTGGTGGACAGCCGCCTTAATGTTCCGGTGAATGAGCCATGCGATGATGATTGTTGCAAAATGGACATAGTCATATTATTTACGTCGATCTTGACTTCACATCCATCGACAAGAGGACGAATTCCCGGTCTACAATGTATGATCAAAAAAAAAAAATTCTTGAGGCGAGTGTTCAAGATGCTTCACAAAAATTGAATTTTTATCCGATGGTCTGTTGTCGGTATGACTTTTTCCTTTTATGTCCTTAAAATTAAAATTTTTTCGAAAGATTTACAAAACTGTTTACTGACTATCCCCAGAGATTGCTATTTAAAAGCGTTAACTTACTATAGGACTAATGTTATGAAGCTGCTTCATTTTAATCACTGCTTCTCAGCTTTCTAAGTCAGTTCACATTTCCAGAGAAATACTGCAATATAATTCCTAGGAGTGACTTTTTTCTAGCCTCAATAAATCCAAAAGTTCTTTGGCCATGGGCACTCCACTTTTGACTGATTATAAATCTACTTTATACTAAAATCAAAAGTGAACATTCAAGCAGCGCCAATTTAAAATTAGGATTTCAGATTTTCCATGAAATAGTACGTTATAATTAAACTAACAACTAGTTGTGTGTATATCAAAACGATTTATAACTTCGGACACGTTTAAAGGTGGAGGCTACACTATCTTCCTTTACCGCGATGAATAATTGTTGGAGCTAGCATCTTGACTACCGACTCCATCGATAAAAAATAAACAGTACTGTGAGCCATTTTATTCACTCGCCTTTGAATAGAAGAGACTTCAAGGGATTGCGCTGGCTTGAAATCAACTGGTGCCTCGACACTTACGTCACAATAGAGCTTCTCCAATGCAAAGTTGTCCACGTCACCAAAACTTTTCCATTCATCGGATCCAAATCCTTGATATTGCCAGTGATACGGCTTAAATAAGTGATGTTCTGGGCATTCTGTGCCTTTGCTACATTCGTCAACAAGAAATCTTGAGCAGATGTAAGCATCTGGCTTGTCCTTGTGAATGTGTCCTGCGAATGTAATGGTAATAAGAAAACAATGTTCTAATGAATAATAAATATGACAAACCATTCGAATTACATCCATTTTGAAATCGTTGATGATCTTGCATTCTGATTGACTCTCGGCCATAGAATTTCTTCACGAATCTCACTGTTTTTTGGCTCTAAATCTCATCTTTTTCAACCTGATGAGAAAACTAACACTGACAACAAACAACCAAATAGATTTCAAGGCAAAGTAACTGGTCAAATTTCTGGAAACGAGAGACAAAAAAGCCATCGTATGGCGATTTTTGCTGCTTTCGTCCGCGGACTTTTTCATCTTCCTTTTTTTCAGAAAAAGGTGTAGAACTGAAATAGAAGCAAAAAAAGTGATAATTGAACGTCGTCTCGTGCACTGTTTATCGAAAGTTATATTTGTGATTTGAAATCACACGTATGATTCTGAAAACAACTGTACACTACTCAGTTCAATTATAACACAATTTAAGCACGCTTAAACGAGCCACTCAATCTGGACTTCCCACGGGTCGCTGTTAGTATATAAAGAGGAAGAGCACAAACAAATACTGACCCTTCGCTTTCTCTTTGCCTGAAAGACAAAGTTTATCATCAAGAATCATCGCAATTGCTTCATGTTTTCCAACATTGTGTAACAAATAACGCCCAAGAACTGCTTGAGTGTGTTTGGTATCCATGGCTTCCTCATGATCCAAGCCGCATTCTTTCATATCACCGCAACACTTCCTGATATGACCACAACACATGTGAATCCTGTTGCAGTCGTCACCACGGTTGCAAATACCATTGTTGTACTCGACACAAATCCGGGGTGTTGAAGAAAGTACGAGCTGCCGCAGCTGCTGGTCGTTAAACTGGTCGAGCTTGATCCTGCTCAGAAAGGCCTTATCTCTGCTATTATGAAAGTAGTGCCTCTGCGGACATGTCACGCCATTGCTACAAGAGTTGGTGACGAAATCTCTACAAATATGCAAAAATGAGCAGTCAGGTCTATGGCATCTTCCGTTCTCATTGTAACTCACACAAATGCGAGTTCTTGCAGAGAAAGCACTGACTTCTGCAATCGTTCCTTGGCTGCCTCTGGTTATCAAGAAGCTTCCCTCGGTCATTTCACGAAACCATCCTTCGGCGCTCTCTACTCTGTTAGGGAATAAATCCTTTCGCCCTGCAATATCTTGGATAGAAGCCGATGAGCCATACTCTTTGCACAGACATTCGAATACTCTCCACTCGGTTAGAAAACAATGGGTTGAGGGAACCGAAGACTTAAATTCAGAAACCTCTTGAGTTTGTGAGGATGGTAACAAAGTCTGTGAATCAACAGTTGTTAACATGTTAGATTTTAAAAGTGTTGTTGCCGATGCACTTTCCCCGGGTAAATTGTTGGTGGAGGCTGCTCTTGGCATTTTACGGTTCAGTAACTCGTCGACTTGCTGCTCCTCACACACCAAGATTTGAGCGACTTGGGCAGTATTCACTTGGTCGATTTCCTCTTGGACCCCAGCGGTAAACAGACTTGAGGGTTGCTTTTGCTCACTTACTGGATCAGAACCCACAACAGCTGTGTTGATGCGCTGTGAGGATGGTAACGAGGTCTGTGAATCAACAACGGTACTTGTTGTTAACATGTTGGATTTTAAAAGTGTGGTTCCCGATGCACTTTCCCCGGGTAAATCGGAGGCTGCTCTTGGCATTTTACGGTTCAGTAACTCGTCGACTTGCTGCTCCTCACACACCAAGATTTGAGCGACTTGGGCAGTATTCACTCGGTCGATTTCCTCTTGAACCCCAGCGGTAAACAGACTTGAGGGTTGCTTTTGCTCACTTACTGGATCAGAGCCCACAACAGCTGTGTTGATGCGCTGTGAGGATGGTAACGAGGTCTGTGAATCAACAACGGTACTTGTTGTTAACATGTTGGATTTTAAAAGTGTTGTTCCCGATGCACTTTCCCCGAGTAAGTCGTTGCTGGAGGCTGCTCTTGGCATTTTACGGTTCAGTAATTCATCGACTTGCTGCTCCTCACACACCAAGATTTGAGTGAATTGGACAGTATTCACTAGGTCGATTTCCTCTTGAACCCCAGCGGTAAACAGACTTAAGGGTTGGTTTTGCTCACTTACTGGATCAGAACCGAAAACAGCTGTGTTGATACGCTGTGAGGATGGCAACGAAGTCTGTGAATCAACAGCGGTACTTTTTGTTAACATGTTGGATTTTAAAAGTGTTGTTCCCGATGCACTTTCCCCGGGTAAATCGTTAGTAGAGGCTGCTCGTAGCATTTTACAGTTCAGTAACTCGTCGACTTGCTGCTCCTCACACACCAAGATTTGAGCGACTTGGGCAGTATTCACTTGGTCGATTTCCTCTTGGACCCCAGCAGTAAACAGACTTGAGGGTTGGTTTTTCTCACTTACTGGATCAGAACCCACAACAGCTGTGTTGATGCGCTGTGAGGATGGTAACGAAGTCTGTGAATCAACAACGGTACTTGTTGTTAACATGTTGGATTTTAGAAGTGCTGTTCCCGATGCACTTTCCCCGAGTAAATCGTTGCTGGAGGCTGCTCTTGGCATTTTACGGTTCAGTAACTCGTCGACTTGCTGCTCCTCACACACCAAGACTTGAGCGACTTGGGCAGTATTCACTTGGTCGATTTCCTCTTGAACCCCAGCGGTAAACAGACTTGAGGGTTGCTTTTGCTCACTTACTGGATCAGAACCCACAACAGCTGTGTTGATGCGCTGTGAGGATGGTAACGAGGTCTGTGAATCAACAACGGTACTTGTTGTTAACATGTTGGATTTTAGAAGTGTTGTTCCCGATGCACTTTCCCCGGGTAAATCGTTGCTGGAGGCTGCTCTTGGCATTTTAAAGTTCATTAACTCGTCGACTTGCTGCTCCTCACACACCAAGATTTGAGCGACTTGGGCAGTATTCACTTGGTCGATTTCCTCTTGAACCCCCGCGGTAAACAGACTTGAGGGTTGCTTTTGCTCACTTACTGGATCAGAACCGAATACAGCTGTGTTGATGCGCTGTGAGGATGGTAACGGAGTCTGTGAATCAACAACGGTACTTGTTGTTAACATGTTGGATTTTAAAAGTGTTGTTCCCGATGCACTTTCCCCGGGTAAATTGTTGGTGGAGGCTACTCTTGGCATTTTACAGTTAAGTAATTCATCGACTTGCTGCTCCTCACACACCAAGATTTGAGCGACTTGGGCAGTATTCACTTGGTCTATTTCCTCTTGAACCCCAGCGGTAAACAGACTTGAGGGTTGGTTTTGCTCACTTACTGGATCAGAACCGAAAACAGCTGTGTTGATACGCTGTGAGGATGGCAACGAAGTCTGTGAATCAACAGCAGTACTTTTTGTTAACATGTTGGATTTTAAAAGTGTTGTTCCCGATGCACTTTCCCCGGGTAAATCGTTAGTAGAGGCTGTTCGTAGCATTGGATCAGAACCCACAACACCTGTGTTGATACGCTGTGAGGATGGTAACGAGGTCTGTGAATCAACAACGGTACTTGTTGTTAACATGTTGGATTTTAGAAGTGTTGTTCCCGATGCACTTTCCCCGGGTAAATCGTTGCTGGAGGCTGCTCTTGGCATTTTAAAGTTCATTAACTCGTCGACTTGCTGCTCCTCACACACCAAGATTTGAGCGACTTGGGCAGTATTCACTTGGTCGATTTCCTCTTGAACCCCCGCGGTAAACAGACTTGAGGGTTGCTTTTGCTCACTTACTGGATCAGAACCGAATACAGCTGTGTTGATGCGCTGTGAGGATGGTAACGGAGTCTGTGAATCAACAACGGTACTTGTTGTTAGCATGTTAGATTTTAAAAGTGTTGTTCCCGATGCACTTTCCCCGGGTAAATTGTTGGTGGAGGCTGCTCTTGGCATTTTACGGTTCAGTAATTCATCGACTTGCTGCTCCTCACACACCAAGATTTGAGCGACTTGGGCAGTATTCACTTGGTCTATTTCCTCTTGAACCCCAGCGGTAAACAGACTTGAGGGTTGGTTTTGCTCACTTACTGGATCAGAACCGACAACAGCTGTGTTGATGCGCTGTGAGGATGATAACGAAGTCTGTGAATCAACAGCGGTACTTGTTGTTGACACGTTGGATTTTAAACGTGTTGTTTCCAATGCATTTTCCGTAGGTAAATGGTTGGTGGAGGCTGCTCTTGGCATTTTACAGTTCAATAACTCATCGACTTGCTGCTCCTTACACACCAAGATTTGAGAGAGTTGGGCATTATTCACTTGGTTGATTTCCTCTCGAATCCGCGCGGGAAACAGACTTGAGGGTTGGTTTTGCTCACTTGCTGGATCAGAACTGGCAACAGCTGTGTTGATGCGCTTCTGTTCCTCCACAATCAAAACATTGGATCGAATATAATCAATGTTTACTACTTGACTGGATGGTATCAAGTCGTATTTCTCGAGAATCGCGAAGTTATGAGAATCCTCAAAGTCATGTGGCAAGAAACAATTTGAATGTGACGATGCTTTAATAAACTGGGTGCAAACATGAATATACGGACATTCACTCCATGTGCATTCATTTCTTTGATACAACGCGCAAACCTGTGGCAAATTCCAGGACACAATTTTCTTCATTGACTCGTTTGAATTTATATAAAAAGGAAGGTCGAGAGCTTCCACTATTTCCCAATTATCGTCGCTGTAAAAATCATGTGAAAGCTCACAAAATTCGTTACATCTCCCTTCCACGAAGGTTTTACAAATGTGCCAGTTTTTGCAGGTGCCTTGCCTACATCGTCGTAAGTGACAGACCCCTTTTGTCGCATATCGGTGACAAATTTTCTTTCCCAAATCAACTCGTACACCAACGATTTCGCCATTTTTATCTTTGACGCAGGCGAACCCAGCCCGAGGTCCTTGACGACTTTCCAACCATTTCTTAGCTGATTCTTCGGATTTTCTGCTTCCAAGAGGCGACGATGATTTTAAAAGAACAGTCAAGTCGACAAAACCGCCGTTACCGCAAATGAAACTAAGGAGTTTAGCTTGCAGAACGTCATCATCTGCCATGTCGCAAAGATAATTAAGTTTGCCGGAAGAGAAACTGGGTACTACAATTTCTCACAATTTCTCAGTAGTTTTCCTAAGCGGGGCATAGAAGGCGAACAGTTTTTCACTACTTGTACACGTCTATAGAATTCATCATAAAAAGAACGTGCAATTTCCCGTCTGTGAAGTCTTACTCAGCAACATTGAAATGACCAATATTAATGACGGATAATTGAAAAACGTCAACTGTTCATTTAGATCATTAAGTTTTTTTTAGACTGTTACATCACTCAAAGGAAGTCCTGAAACTTTCAGTCTAGCATGTGCTACATCATTTACATTTTGCGTCAAAACGAGTAACGCAATATCAAAGATCAAAACTGTATGTCTTGCTCGATGTGCGAACTTAGAAAGAAATGTTCGACGGTTTCCGACACACGAAACAAAATTTAGGCCTTCGTTTTATGGCGAACCTCGTTAAATGGAAGTTGTTTTGTTGTTCATGGCAAGAGAAACGAAGCATATAATTATGCGCTGGTGAGAATGTGATTTCAATTAACAGATGCACGATATTTCACTTCGGTAATTTTTGCTGTTTAAAGCAAAATTCGTTTAAAAATCGCATAGGAAATCCAAGGAGTTCATTAATACTCAAGTTTGACATAAAGAAATCAGGCCTATCTCGAAGCATCGTTTCCCCCTTTTCCTGAGGCCAATACCAAACATTTATCCTTTGACCAGCAGAAATAGGAAACCTGCTGCGCGCGCTAAATCATCTTTCGCTTGTTTCAAACGATTAAGATTTTATTCATTCACGCTTGAGTTATGATCTAAAAAAAATTCAAAAATTGAAACGAATAACAGCAAAAAAAAAAAACGACAATTGTCGAGCAAATATCGCATCCATCCAAATTAGTTGGTCTTGTTTTAAGGTGTAACAAAATCATCATTTTTGCAACAAAACGTCTACAAATTTCAGCAAAATTATACACTTTCTGAGTGGAAGAAGAAATAGAAGATTCTCTTGCAGTTTTTTTTTCATCCTGAAGGAAACTTTCATTGTTAATTTACAACGATCTCCCGCTAAAAATTCATTTCTACCTTATTTAATGGATTTAACGCTATGGTTAGGACTGGCCAAGGCCTTTCATTTAATTCTGTGCCTCTCGCTCGTGCTGTTAAACTCTGTGGCGGAATCCACCTTGGTTCAAATTTCTTCGAATCATTTTCAACAAAGTTGTAATGACTCGCTTTTTCTTGCTGAGATGGAATCGAAATTCTCTTGCAAGTTATGTGTCCACAAGCTGGGTATGGCCAGTAAGGATCACTATGTTATGCCGTACCTGTTCCTCTCCTTAATCTTCCAATAAACACCGCATTCCTGCTATTGGGTGCAGTGTTTATTCGCAGACGGCGGTTAGTTGTAATTGACTTCCAACCGCGGTGCTGTATCGAGTAAATAGAGCAACCAGGACTGTTTTACAATAGACAACAGACCTGACCGTACAGTAATAAAATCAGGCAAAAGATTTTAGAGCTAGGCGGTACAATGAAATTGTTTTACCGATTTTTTTTGTAAACATTTGTCAGTAATGTACAAAAACGTGGAGATAAAAGGGTTCGACCCCAGAATGGTTTAGTGAATGCACTTTTACGTCACATGATCATGCAGTCACTTTTCTTTTTCGGGTAGTCTGCTGTTTTCGAACCATGGTACCTCCCTGAAGATCCAGACAGTGTTGTATGAAACAAATTGCCTAACAAATCTCTAAGCAAACGGGAAAATGCTTCGTCGAGATTATTTGTGTTTGTCGGGCTTCTAATGGTTGATGAGCCGCTACTTGCACCTGTTTCGTGTACATTACAGGATGTCATGGAAAGCTTTTTTAAATGAGATTCTTATCCCTGTTAGTGGGAAGCTCATATTGCATATAACTTTTATACTTCTAAATTAACTATTTATCTACCAAGTTTCTACAAACAGTGTTCCGATGCGTGGTCAGAAGTAAATGCAAAAACACCCAGCTTGCTACGCGAAATTGCAAGTGAAGTTATTTAGAATAACAAGCTTCTCTACATTAATAAGAAATCTGTATATCGTAGAGATATTGCAGATTTAGGGTTTTTAAAAATTTGCGATTTATTTTCAACTAAAGAAAATCTCAATCCTGAGCAAAGTTTCTTCATTATGGGTCTATTAACTTTATGCCTGCCAGTTGGCGCTTGACAATTAAAAGGGCAACTACTGCACCGGTGATTGATCCACTTCCGGATTCACCTGTTAGTCTAATAAGTAACAGTTTGGTTCCAATTCTTGCTTCCTCAAAGCAAATCTACAGGCTTTTCCTGGAGAACAAACAAACAACGCTTACTGCTAAAGTAAAGTTAGCTGCAAAGTATTAAACATTGATATTGATTGAAAAAGTGTTTATTCGCTATCTTTTTCGCACAACATTAGAATCTAAACTTAGAGAATTTCAGTTGAAAATTTTAAACCGTATTGTCTTTACAAACAAACGACCTGGATACAAGGTTTGTTCCAGGTCTTGTTTGGGACGCAGTTTGCTTATTTTTACTCACGAAAGATCCACTCGACTAAGAGGAAGAACCTAGCCTGCTATAACTGGTGGGCTTCTTCTTCAAAATCCCTCTAGGGTAAGTTTGAAAAGTTGGAGATGCTGACATTGTAGTTGGTGGTGGTTGTAGCGCGCTCGCTTGGGAAGCTTGAGAATGACCACCACGAACAGCGGATCCATAGGCGTTGAGAGCTGCGCCAACTTTGTTTGAGAAGGTAATTGCATTGGTGCTAGCAATACTCGAACTTAATACAGCGGCGGCTGAGTAGCTACTAATGTTGCCGGCAGAAAGCCTCGGCCTAAATGCTGCGATAAGGCTATTAAGGGAAGTTGGAGCTCTTTCAGGTTTCGGCTGGGGTCTTGCTGCGGTATTTGGAGTGGGTGCCTTCGGCTGAGCAGATACAGCGGGAACTAAATAGCTGTTACTGTTGCCGATAGGTAGGCTTGGTTTGGATACTGTGTTGAGGCTATTAAGAGAATTGTGAGCACTTACAGGTTTCGGCTTGGGTCTCACCGTCGTATTTTTTGTGGGTGCCTCCGGCTGAGTAGAGGAATATTGGATTATGTATTCTGGGTAGAACTGATCGGTGTCAAAGACCACAAAGATTGTGGGATTGGACTTGTTATCTACACAAGAGTCGTATAAGTCGCTGGCGGGATCTGATTGTTGCTTCGGCGGTGGTCTTCGATAACTGGAGTGACCTTGTGTATAGGAACCAACGAGAACTTTGGTCAAGAATATGAATTGAGACATATTGCCATCTCTCTTTGCGTAGGAATGGCTGTATGATGCATTCACTGCAAAATAGCTTCCTTCACCATACTTAGATGCATTTCTTCCGTGCAGACGCCAATCAAAGTTCTGTTTGCAAATGGCCTCCACCGAGTCTGGAGTGGTTCCGTGAAACAAGTTTTTCTCATTGACTGCCTGTTGATTCCTTCTTGCTATTAGCCTCATGTTCTGTTTCTTTCTAACAAGAGGAAGCAAAAGGACATATTGTAAGTGACAATAGATAATGGCCATTGCTAATCATTTATTTGCCTCTAAATTCCAATCTTAAAGTGTCCTCACTCTTACCCACAAGAGACCTTAGAGTATTTAAGGAACTTTATTCAGTGCAATATGCATGATTGTCAATATACTTAATAAAATGTCATCTCAAGTGTGCCAAGTGTGCACGTTTCATTCAATTTCCCTACATTTAAATATATGAATTTATTATATGGATGGGAGTGTATTACCGGAAACTCAAATACTGGTAGAATCAATGTGGCTACCACATCCGGGAGTGGCGTATTTTCCGTATGTAACACGAGTGGTCATATTGAAAAACGACGCTTCGATCCCCGCCTGATGTAAAGATTTTAAAGGAATTTCTCGAAAATTGCGAGGAGACAAAAATAAATGTTGATAAAACTCTGTCGATCTAAATATTTTCAAGAAATTCTCGAAACTTACGACGAGAAAAAGATAAATGTTCGTGCTTAACAGCCTTGAAAGGTTCGTACTGAAAAGAGCCTGAAAATAAAAGTATCTGATGATTCATGTCAAAGTCAGGAATCGAATTTTTATGAAGCTTATTAAAAACCAGTTCACATCATTTTGATCCAAATGACGGTGTTATATAAGAACCTTTTTATAATTTGGGCAAGGGGTAGTTTGTTACCACTCATATTAAAGCAAGCTTTTTTTAATTTCTGTCAAGGATATTTATTGTCCATAAAGCAAAAAGAGAAGTACAAATTTTATATTCTCGTGGAACGAGCCACCCGTGTATAAAATTGATATCGTCTCTACACCGTGTTATATCCTCTATATCTAAATTTCTATTAATACTTTGTGCAAGTTTATGGCTGTATAACTTTCTTCTCTCATTTTATACATTTCCATACATTTTCTTCCAAGTTCTGTTTTCCTTCTCACCTGCAATACTTCTCCCACATGAAAGGGTTCTGTACACGCTCGATCCTTTCAATTGAAATGTGGTCGTTCATCGACTTTCGGAACAATTGTTCCACTTCTTTATATTCCTTTGATGATGTCGTTAACATGACGCGAATATACTGTCCATCGGGTGGCATGGAAGACCAGTGGTTTGGAACGTTATACATAGCCGTTCTGTTTTCTATCTTTCTCCTCCTGGAGGAATCCCCGTGCTCCCTACAGAAATGGAAAAAGATGAAAAAACTTGTAACTGAAAATGTCATGAAACAAGGTGATCCCCATTTCTTTCCCTCCCTTTCCCGCTTCATGAATGCTTTTTGAAAATCAAGAACCCCTGTAACAGTCTTTAGACTGTAAACTGGTCAAAGCGTTCATATTTCGTGGTGTGTGAGGTTTCGTGGCTTTAGCGACGTTTGTCTTCCATATCATCGCAGAACGGAATGAAGGAAGAGACGGGAAAACTAAGGAAGGAAAAAAAGATTACTGATCATTTGGATTTC